TAGAGACACTTACGCATCTTTTTGGCACTGTAGATCAACTCAGACTTTTTGGAATAATGTTTCGCAGTGGACCTCCGAAGAGCTTGACTTGACCAACTTGAACATTACCCCCTTTTCGCCAGCTCTTTGTCTCGGCTTAATCGACAACATATCCAGTCTTCTCCTACACCACTTCCTCCTCATTGCTAGACATTATATATATAGTTGCAAACTACGAAACACTATTCCTATGGTACAAGTGTACACTCAGTTAATGGTAATACGCTCCATGGAAATTGAGAAACAGATTGCGTTTGATAATAATAACTTAGCCTCTTTTAGGAAGAAATGAGCTACTTTTAAACAATGCCCCTCAGAATATAATTTGACCAATACAGTTAATTAAAGTACAAGTGACAAACGGGCAGATGGGTGATGGAGGACCATAAAAGGCAGGAAGCCTTCCCTTATTGTTAATATATAAACTATAGTATTTTTCTGGACTTTGTCCGTCTTTTTCTTTTTATTTGTTTTTTGTAAACGATAACAGTTACCTGTAATGAATTGTAAATGTAATGTATTGTAATTGTTTGTGTGTGCGAAATATAAAAAAAAAAGAAAAAAAAGAAACATCAGCCAAAGGAGCTTGGACATTTTCCACAACGGCGCACGTCTTTGAAAACGTGTCGGTTCTGTTAGTGTTGACTAGTTGCCATGCCAACCGACTGTCAATAATTTTCTCTCAAATGCGTGCGAGAAGTAGAAAAAGTTATTCATCCGAAAAAAAGGCCTTAGTGTTCATGAACAAGCCTACTATAACAAAAAATCATCCAAGTCGAGGTTTTTCCTAAATAAGAAAAGAAGAAATCTGAATTTGAGTAGAACAATTATTTTCAGTTGGTGGTTAAAATTCCTTGTATGTTTTTGCTTAAGCTTGACAAGGCATCTGGCACGAACACACTTTTCTGTAGCTGAAATAAACAGAAAAATCTAAAATTACCTTTCTTGTGGTATTACTTTAACTGCCATAGGCATCCTTGAATGAAGGCAGGATTTCCACAGTTTGTATGCTGCTATGTATCAGACCCAAAAACAAGCAAAAACCATCTTGCTACTTTGTAAGAAAGTTTGAAACTTGCATTGATGCGTCATAATCATCAATACGTCATTTATGGAATTTGGAACGCAGCGCGCTCGATTCTTTTGTCTTCGTCATCTCTAAACGGCAGTCGAGTCTTTTGAAATAAAGATTATGTCCGTCACCAACTCGGAGATGCAACAAATGCAAATTTCCAACACTCGGTGATTAGGACACACCTTCCGCTGAATCTGCTGAATCCATACCGCACAGTGCAGTAGAAATGTTCTACGCTTATAGACTTTAATAGATTGTGGTAACACACATGCATATTGTGGAAAATTTGCCATACGATCGTTTGAGCAATGCGAGCATAATTTTTCCTTTACACTTCTCCTGGCGAAAAAAATCACTCTTTAGTTTTTTTTTTCTCTTTTAATATCTTCTCTGAAAAACTTACAGTTATTCATTTTTGAGCTTTGTTCTTTAAGCTGTCAGTTTGGTTATAAACCAGTTTAATTTGAAATTTCGTAAACAGTCTCTACCCACCTCCGCTGGCTGCAAAAGCTGTCGTGTTCAAGTCAAGATTTTATACAAAAGGACCTCTGACAGAACCAAGAGATGAAGCACATCTTTCATTTTAGAATACTTTCTCTCCTCAGGATTAACTGCAATTTTTCTCGTACCATTTACGATGAACTTCAAACACGCGCGCGCGTGCTCATCTCGCGTGTCAATTAACTTTTCGCATACGACTGCAAACAACACATGGAATGCACAGAACGTAATTTGATCACACGCGTAATCTGATCACGCGCGTTTTGACCATTTGTCACGTGAAACTTACGCAAAGCAAAACGCTGGAACGTTTTGACCTTCGATCGTTGTCGCCCGCACTCCGTAACCTTTGGTTATTACTAGTTTTAGTAAGAAGCTATTAACATGCATCTTCCATTTCCATTTCTCATCCAGTACTACTCCTAGACACTTAATAGATGTAACACCCCTAAAAAAACTGCCCATCACCAGTAAAAAACTGCAAGTTATTAATTGCGTAGCCTGCGAAAACATCCGTTTCTCCTCGCTCTTCGACGCTGGGGACGTTTCGCGAGGAGGAACGTCTGCGACTCAGCGACAGAAAGTCCATACTGATGACGCAAAATCTGTCCGGAATCCGGTCAGAACCACTGATTGGTCGATGGAGTAGTTACATTATTGTTCCTCCACGCGAAACGTCCCCAGCGGCGAAGAGCGAGGATAAGCGGATGTTTTCACAGGCTATTAAGGTGGCTCCGTAATTAATACAAGAGCATTTAGCTGTGACAAATTTTCCGTCATAACTTTTTGGTTATTAACGCGATGGCTGCGAAACTTTGCAAAGAACAACAGATATCATTCGGCAATAACACGAAATATTCCGATTTCATTGATGGTAAATATTTCTTGAGAAATTAGCGCTTAAAAGGACCCTACTGTTCAAAGAAAATCGCGTCTAGTAAAAAATTTTGCTGATATTTTTTACTGAAATTTCTGGTATCGGCTTTAATTGATATAATAAATATGCCAGAGGAATTTCAGAAAAATCGTTGGAGCAGAAGTCCGAAACTAAAAGGCGCTCAAAATTCAGCTGTGAAATTGTTTTGGAATTTCAAAAATAAATTACTATCGGGTAGAAGGAGCCACCAGTTTGAATTTTCGTGACAAGTAAATTCAACGTTTTCTAATTCTTAAAACAAAAGCCGATTGCCTATCGTGCTATTCTTTAAAAGGTACTGTTTAGTTGTAGAAGCACTATAAATTGCTCCAAACCTTGCTCTGAGGTAGAATTACTTGTTCTTCGACATTTTTAAAATATCCCATGGCAGTTTTGATTCAAACTCCTGCTGCATACATTTTGATGTATTGCAATGCATTTTCAACGACTTTTACTTCTGTTCGTTGCTTCCAACTCAGGAAAAAAGTATTGAGATTGGACGCTACCTCGTACCAGAGCTCAGATAGAACTGTCCAGCACCTTTGTTTATGACTACAAAATGAGCACGAGCGGCAGTTCTGCGTGGAATTCGCACCTCACACAGGGGGGACGAACGACATCGATGACCATGCCTGTGAACCGAATAACATCACAGTCCAAAATAAAATTATCGCAAAAATACTGCCCGTGAATAAATTTACAACTCTGGAATTTTTGTCACTCCTTCCCTCAATGAATGGGTATTTTTTCTTGATTATTATGTTTTGCTCTGCAATACATGTTTATACAGATCGGTTCACAGACATGGGCATCATTGTCATTCGTCCCCCCTGGCTGAGGTGCGAATTCCTCGCACAAGTGCCGCTCGTGCTCATTTTCTGGTCATAAACAAAGGTGCTGGACAGTTCTATCTGAGCTTTGATACAAGGTAGCTTACAATCCCAATACCTTTTTCCTGAATTGGAAACAACGTACAGCAGGAAAAGCCGTTGAGGATGCATTGCAATACATCAAAATGTGTGCAGCAGGAGTTTGAACCAAAACTGCCAAGGGATATTTTAAAAATGTCGAGGAACAAGGACAACAAGTCATTCGAAGTCAGAGCAAAGTTTTGAAGCAATTTATAGTGCTTCTAAAACTGAACAGTACCTTTTAAAGAATAGCACGATAGGCAATCGGCTTCTGTTTTCAGAATTAGCAAACACTGAATTTACTTGTCCCGAAAATTCAAACTGGTGGCTCCTTCTCGCTGATGGTAATTTATTTTTGAAATTCCAAAACAATTTCACAGCTGAATTTTGAGCGACTTTTAGTTTCGGACTTCTGCTCCAACGATTTTTCTGAAATTCCTCTGGCATATTTATTATATCAATTAAAGCCGATACCAGAAATTTCAGTAAAAAATATCAGCAAAATTTTTTACTAGACGCGATTTTCTTTGAACAGTAGGGTCCTTTTAAGCGCTAATTTCTCGAGAAATATTTACCATCAGTGAACTCGGAATATTTCGAATCATTGCCGAATGATATCTGTTGTTCTTTGCAAAGTTTCGCAGCCATCGCGTTAAAAACCAAAAAGTTATGACGGAAAATTTGTCACAGCTAAATGCTCTTGTATTAATTACGGAGCCACCTTAATAGACCTTTTTACCGATACGGCGGCTATATTGAATTAATTCGATTTAAGAAGTATTATAGGATGCCCAGGGGGCATGAGCACATTTCGTTTGTATTTTCGAGCGCTCTTTGGGACATTTTTTCTCAAAGTTTTCTTAGAATAAGATTCTAATGGGAAAAAAGATCCTTGTGCCTTGTTTGGATGTACTAATGATAGCCTTTCTCCCGAGAAAGATACAGTGAAACACCATATTTCTAATACTAAACTAGAAAAAGCTTTTTCTTGTTTAGTATTAGAAATATGGTCTTTCACTGTATCTTTCTCGGGAGAAAGGTTATCATTATTACATCCAAACACGGCACAAGGATCTTTTTTACCATTACAACCTTATTCTGAGAAAACTTTAAGAAAAAATGTCCCGAAAAGCGCTCGAAAATACGAACGAAATGTGCTCATGCCTCCTGGGCATCCTATAACTAATCCTTAAATTGAATTAATTCAATATGGCCGCCGTATCGGTAAAAAGGTCTATTGCAACAACATTGTTTTGTTTCCTGAGAAACCGAGCCTCGCGAGCTACCAGTGAGTGCATGACATAAAGCTTGGGTGAGCTGTGGTAAAAGAGGTCAATGGATATGAATTTTTCCTTTTCTTTCCCTTTTCGTTCCACCCGTTCTTGCGTTTTTTTTTTGTTTTTGTTTTTGCTTATACTTCTTTGCTTGTGTTATCGTTCGTTATCAATCAGGATTTTTCGTGCACGTTTCTGGGGAAACTTTCAATAGATATCCTGGATGTCTATTTATACAACGTAACTCTTTCTTTTGGCACAATCCGCTGGCAGATTCGTTGGCGCAGAAATGCAATGGCGGAACAAGCATGGCTTTTCTGCAGATTTGTCGTCGACACCGTATACTTTTTGAGGGTGCAAGTGCTTCGGTAAAGCTTCTTTTGACAAGGAAAGGGTTTCAAAGTTGTCGAATTCTACACAGTCATAAAAGCAAACATCTCCGCGTAGGTAAGAAAGATTATTCTTTCCCATGTGTCAAAAAATACGCACCCGGCAGCCGGGAAATGTTTTTAGTTTTAATCAGGGACAACCAGGAAATAATGAAAATTAAAAACAACAATAATCAATTATCGGATGAGGCTGAGGCTGAGTATAAATTAAATAATCTAGCAGGTCGAGGGTGGTTTATATCTACCTCCATACGTTTGTCAGATGTTTTAAGAAAAATTGAATGAGATAAAAAAGAATTAGACATAAATTTTAGACTACTGGGTATCTAGTCGCCTGAGCAAACAGCTGACATTTCGTGTCACCACCACTGGCTTCCCCCCAAAATGACATCTGAGAAACAAGCGCAGAAATTCCATACTCATGACGCATCACTACCCAGATCTGGGTAGTGCTCCTGATTGGTTGAAGCAAATTTCTTTCCTGACATGACCAATAATAGAAGTACCACCAAGATCTGGGTAGTGAATGTCATCAGTTAAGAGGGTATGAAATTTATGCAGTTGCTGCTCAGACGTCATTTCGTGGGCAAACCAGTGGTTGCATCACAAAATGTTGGCTGTTTTCTCAATGTAGTTATCTCGTATTTTGAAGGCATAGAGAGGCCGAAATACGAGTAAACAACAGAATTTTCTCCGTCAGGTACAAGTTATGATTTCTCTTTTACCATCATTTAGAGAAGAAGGCATTAAATAATGACAACAACTTTCTGGAACCAAAATTACACAACTTCCAATCCACACATGGGTTTTGCACTATAACGTCCCCTCTTGATCAGAAAGTTGCTCCCTCAGCAGCAAAAGATGTTTCTGCAGTTGACAGAGGCCACAAGAGGAAAACTAAAAAAGCAGAAAGTAACAAAAAGAAAACAGATAAAAGTAGTGCTAAAAGCACTGAAACAGCTAAAGGAACAGACTCCAAAGGGATTCAGAATAATGACACAGATAGTGGAGCAGCAAAAAAGAAGAATCCTTCTCATAAATATGACTTGTCAAGGAATAGTGAAAGAAAAAGTGAGAGGACATTATTGGAGAGTATAAATAAGCAGAAAAAAGGAACAAGTGAATCTTCAAAACTAAGTAAAGAGAATAAAGATGTACTTGTGACAACAGTAGGGACAGCTGGGAACGATGATGAACATATGTTAGATTATGGTCCTGAAGCTATCTTAGTTGCGGGGGAGGATGATCATCATGATGAAACAGAAATGGAGGATCTTGGCGATGTTTCTCATCTAGTAACAACAAAAGAATTTGCTAAGGAAAAAGATGACATTGATTTGGATTTTCTTAGTGATGATGAGGAATCTACTGTAAGAACAGAGAGTGTAGCTGCATTGGAGGAACTTGAAATCACATCTGGTGCAATGTTTGACAGTATTGTTCCAACTCCTAAAAAATACAGAGAGGGAACAGCAGGTGGAAGGCTTTTTGAAGCACAGACTTTGGCTGAAATAGATGGATATCTGTTTCTAGGAAATGTGAGTAAGGAGCCCAACATGAGAAAATAAAAATATGTTCAAATTCATGATATAGTCAACTCTCTTTAAGATGGACACCTTTGGGACCAGCACTATATTTCTGTCTAAAAGTGACATCCATCTATCAAGAGTTAAATGAAGGGTGCCAAGAAAGGTGGGGACTAACTCAAGGTGTCCGTTTTACCGAGGTTCTAGTATTTTAAAGACGTCTTTGGGACCAGCACTATATTTCTGTGTAAAAGTGACATCCATCTATCTTGAGTTAAATGAAGGGTGCCAAGAAAGCGGGGACTAACTCGAGGTGTCCGTTTTACCGAGGTTCTAGTCTTTTAAAGATGTCTTTGGGACCAGCACTATATTTCTGTCTAAAAGTGACATCCATCTATCAAGAGTTAAATAAAGGGTGCCAAGAAAGGCGGGGACTAACTCGAGGTGTCTGTTTTACCGAGGTTCTAGTCTTTTAACGATGTCTGTGGGACCAGCACTATGTTTCTGTCTAAAAGTGACATCCATCTATCAAGAGTTAAATGAAGGGTGCCAAGAAAGGTGGGGACTAACTCGAGGTGTCCGTTTTACTGAGGTTCTAGTCTTTTAAAGATGTCTTTGGGACCAGCACTATGTTTCTGTCTAAAAGTGACATCCATTTATCAAGAGTTAAATAAAGGGTGCCAAGAAAGGCGGGGACTAACTCGAGGTGTCCATTTTACCAAGGTCCTAGTCTTCTTAAGGTGTCTTTTAAGAGAGAGTGGACTGTACATTTACAAGTAGACGGTAGAAACGGTTTTTATGGTGTTCTTCTTGATCTTCATAATTTGTCAGGCCATATGAAACCCAAATCCAATCATTGCTTATTGTTTAATGCGACATAAAATCTTCATAAATTTTTGTTTTAATAAAAGAACTTAAACACATTATTATGCGTAATGACACTAAGTTTCTCCTTGTGTCTAGCCCTATCAAGCTGAAAAGCTGTTCAACAGGTATCTGAGAATGGGAAAGAAGTTTGATGTAAATACTTTTAACAAACTACTTCATGGCTGGGCACAGAAAGGAAACCTGATGAGTGTTAAGTTGCTGTTTAAACTGCTTAAGAGAGAAGGTCTAGAACCAGATATGGGAACCTATGCTGCAATGCTGCACGGCTATGGCAAATTTGATGATGTAGATGGTGTTCGGAGTGTCATTAAAGAAATGGAGGAGAAGGTCAGTGATATTTTACTAATATTCTGTGTGCATTTGTCTCTTCCAAAATGAGAACATAATTTGTCAAGGAAAATTTTTCTCCCATTTTGATTACCCACTCACACCTCATCACATACATGTACCTTTTAAAAACCACCCCTCCCCCCCATGAAACCATGCATGTCCCTGATACCACATGTGATATCATCAGAGCTAATATTATATTTAATATTATATTGTTTTATTGGGACTAAGTCAAGTGGCATGTATCGTCTGAACTACAATGTTTATGTAGGCAAGCAACGGCAATTAAAAATGCTAGGGGATTTTATTTTATTTTTTCTTATTTTGCTCAATTCATTTCGCTCAGTGTGCAAAGAAAGTAGTGTCCAATAGCCCGGGGCTAGTGGATTTTGCTATCGGGCTAGTGAATTCTTGGCCAACGGGCAAGTGATGTTTTTTGATTAATTAAAATAACAGAGGAACTGTGAAATCAATTCTGCTAGTCAAAAAGTTTTTGGGGCTAGTTGAAATGATGTCTGGGCTAGTAAATGCTAGCTTCAGCTTGCCCGAATGGCAAGCTGTAAAAATGATTTTCTTTGCACCCTGTCTCTAGATACAAAGTTGCCAGTGTTAAAGCTTCCAGTTGCCAAGGAAAATCCTTCAGGGCTCTGGCTCTTTTTGATAGCTAGCCTTATCCATTCTCGACAGCTGTCTAACTCTGTCACCGTCTGCACAAACATTTCAATAGAGAAATATCAATTTGGAAAGGATCTATTATGTTTATTTATGAAATAATTAACTGTAGCGGGATGTAATTGTCTGCAGTCTCTTGGTTGTTAGAACTTATTAATTTTTAGTGCTCTTTCTAATATTTTTTTGTATAGGAGTTTGATATCAGGCACATATTCCACAAGTGCTGTCTAACAGAACCTCAGGCTAAAGGAGTTTTGAAGGCATTAAGACTTTTCATCTCTGATTACCAACCAAGTACTCCAGAATCACGGAGCCAAATCAAATATCCCAACCTTGTAAAGTCATGGTATTCAGACAGGGTTAACTTAGATGAAAAACTGCAAAGTGTTCCTGGAAAACTTGAAAGAGAACTAGATGAACCAAGACTCAAGGAGCTTTTTGAGCAACAAATTTTACAGGAACTATCAGGGTTTACACCCATAAAGTCAGTCGAGGATGACAAAGGGGACAGTGAATTGAATCAAAAAAGAAAGGAAATGTTTTTAGAGTGTCGCAGCAAATGGAGAAAAGCTTTAATTGAGAGCATTGAGAAAGAGTTGTTTGAAATCAAGAACTCCAAAGGTACGGTGAACACGGACATGTAGACTGGTGTCCATACATTGTCTTGTTTGACATGAAATTTAAGGATCATAGCAAAAGCTATTCAAGCAGTACACTGTTAGTATTTTTTTTTGTAATGTTTTTGTTTTTCTTTACCTGGTGACTTTAAAGTTTAAGAGGATAAAGTGTCACTATAAATGCGAAATCTGCCGTCTGGGAAATGCATTGCACTGGTCATACTTCGTGCCACTTGAATTTTTGAACCCAGATATCATGGTTTTCTTTTAAAAGGGTGCCAAAATGGTTTGCAGGCAGAAATAAGTCTGCTCAGTCAACCAGGATAAGTAGGAAAAAAATTGCTACAGAACAATAATTTGACTTTCCAAAAGGAAATTCTTGTTTGTTGGTTGGTTTTCTTTTTCAGAACAATTTAACTGAAGAACCACAAAATTAATGAGAAGTGCTCAAGGATTGTCATGCTGTTGGAATAAATTCACATACGTTACTGTGTACAAGTTATGAGTCAAATTAAATTCAGGTTTAAAATTTTTTAAATCTAGGTTGATTCTCCATTCCGTCTTCTCCTAGCCTTGATTATTATGAATTAGGGCTAGGAGAAAAGTGAAACTGAGAATCAGTCAACAATCGGCAACAAAATTAGTTGAGACACTTTGCCCTGATGGGGCTTTCTGATGTTTTACTGATTTCAATGGGCAAAATAAGACTTTTCCTCCCCCATCCCCTCCATGCAATGTTTTGCCGCTGTTCAAGCTACATACAGAAAACAATGAACACCCCAACCGTGAATGAAGGGGAGGGGTGTCGATTCTTTTGTTCTCTGAAGTTACCCTATTTTTTAAATAGAATGTCTCAACATTTTTGTCACCAATTGAAGGTTAAAAACTTTAACCTGAATTTAATTTTCAACTGTAACATACAGGTACATAGATTTTGGATACCATGCTAATGGTGCTCTTTCCTCTCCATAGGGAAGTCTGTACACCCCAGATTTGCACCTTTCTTCCAGGCATTTGAACCTGATGAGCTCGCTGATATTACCTTGGACACCATTGTGTTTTATGTGAAAGGACGTGTTGAAGGTGTACCTTTATATGGTGTTAGTGGAGCATTGGGCTCAGTGCTTAACACAAAGTACATTGTGAAACACAGAGTACAGTCTGGAATGTTGGACAAGGTACATGTAACTGCTGTTGAGCCTCTACAGTACTATTACTGCCAGTACAACAACAACAAAACATATGACATTTTAAACCAAAGTTAGAAACAATATGTGCACAACCCAAAAAGGCTAAAGGAGGTGAATTACCGTAAATCGTCTATTAAGGTTCCCCCTCTCAAATAAACCTCCTCCTTATAATAAGCCCCCCTCCCTTTTCAGGGGAAGAAAGATGATAAGCTCCCCCCTCTCTACTAAGCACCCCTCCCCTCCCCTATTTATTCTTTACCAATAAATGGTAGACTGTATTGATCAGTCATGATTGTAAAACTTCGTGTGGACTGATCCCGGATGGTTTATTTACCAACTGGAAGTTCGCTTTTGACTCTGATCCTCGACTACATGATCCTTCTTGTTCTTGAGCTTCTCCACTTTGTCTTCTAGTTCTTTATAGAGAAATGATACCATTGTCATTTCTAAATTAAATACAGCTCCCCCTCTCAAATAAGCCCCCCATCTCTATTAAGTCCCCTCCCAGTCAAATGGGCATGGAATAAATAAACCCCCCAGGGGAGCTTCATAGAGGTTTTACAGTATGTAATATGAATAAATAGATTATTCAATAAAAAAGTTACAGAAAAACTGGAGAAATAATAAAACTTATAAGATAGTAGTGTGCATTTAATGACACATGAACAGGGTGCAAAGTGAAGTCAATTTTTACAGTTTGGTAAGCTGTAAGTACCATGTACAAGCCAAGAGTCATTCTAACTAGCCCAAGAAAAAAATGTTGATGAGCAGGATTGATTTCAGTTCTTCTGTAATTTGAATTCTCCATAACCTACACTTACGCGTTGGGAAAATCAAGAACGAAATTCACTAGCCCCATAGTAAAAGAGTGAGGTAATATCTACATGTAGTTTTGGGCTAGGTATTGGACATGTCTTTCTTGTAATGCTGTGCACACAAAATGTGATAGTACTGTAGATGTATAGTGAATTAAATGAAAGTAAATAAGTTACATAGATATAAATGACTGTTATATTTGGTGTTTGGTTTCAAACGAAACCTCTGAACTGACTTGAGTGTTTGGTTCAGATCGTCAAAGTGCTGATAACAGCAGTTTATCATCATCATCATCATCATCATCATCATCATCATCATCATCATTATTTCTTCATTTAGATGAAGGGCATATATCATGACTATTTTTCTTATCTGATGGATGAGAGGCTTACAGCAAGGAGGATGGCTCGAGAGTTCTGGAATGAGCTGGATGATATCCTTCCTTTTGGTGGTTCACTTCAGCAAGAAGTTCCAATCTGGCCCTGGGCTACAAAAATAGTAGTAAGTACTGCAGTGGTACAATGATTCTCCCTTGCAGATCATACCTTGTGTAGTGTACAAATGTGGGTGACTTTGGACTTGAAACAGCCATGTAGAGTTAATTTTAGTTTTAGCTGCATTTTTGTTTCTCATGGAAAGAGGAGTGGCTGAGTTAGTGGGGGGATCCAGGATTTTTCTTACGAGGAGTGCACCACTAAGGAATGGCGTAACTGACTGGTGACGTTAACAAATTTTAATACAGAATACCAGTTGTATTAGAAAGCTGCACGTCACCTCGGGGGGAGGGGGGGGGGTGCACACCCCCTGCACCCTCCCCCTCCCCCTAGGTCCGTTCCTGTGAGTGATTAGCCAGAGTTCAATCCCATCCTAACTGCTGGATGGATTTGTTCTTGGTCATCACATGAGTGGCTCCAATGTGAAAACAAACAAGGGACTAACAGTGCACTAATCACAGGTAACCTTTGGGGTCGTAAATTTTTCTTTTCTGCCCATTTAGAAACTTTTTAGTTGTCATGTGGCCTTGAAGTAGCCAATCCGAGTGCACAATGTTGGGGGAAACCAAGCTATTTAGCAACATACGGACGTTGTATTATCCGATCTTTCTTTTTCTCGAAGGCTATAAAGGGTCTAGTCATTTACAAACTCTCTATAACTGATAATAATATTGGCTTTCAGTTTGGATGCTCATTGGTGGATTGCTTCCTCAAGTCAGCTCAAATTAATGTGAATCTCTTCAACAATCGCCCAGAAGAGTTGATTCTTCCAGCTTTTTACCACACGTACGAATTTAAGGTGAACAAGAAGCTGGGAGTGTTAAAGCCACACCCAGTCGTTTGTAAATTGTTCAAGGAGTATTTGGCGAGTCAGGGAGAGATTTCTATGGAAACAACATCGGTGCCAATGCTGGTCCCACCACGTCCATGGAGAGCAACCAAGGATGGCGCCTACCTTATCTTACCAGGTTTGAGAACTTTATCTGAACGTGGTTTTCGTGAGTAATATCAACCTTGTCAATCATTCCTGCCAGAACATGACAATCATTAGATTCTCCTTACATCGCACAGGTTTAGAAGAAGAATTAATCTTATCTTTCAACTCGTTTCTCTACCAGGAAAAAAAGACCTCTGCCAGCAGGGAACGAACGCTTTTCATTCACTAAATTGTTCTTGTTTACTATGTTTCTTTGTTTCTACTTATAGGGCCTATATTTAAAATTATGGCTAAAAACTAGTAATAACCAAAGGTTAGGAAGTGCGGGCGACAACGATTGGAAATCCAAACGCTTTTGCTCCATCGCTATGCTTTGCGTATGTTTCAAGTGACAGATAGTCAAAACACGCGCGATCAGATTACGAGGGGTAGAAGGTCGAAACGCGCGTGACCAAATTGTGTTCTGAGTATCCCTTTCATTCTTGGTGGAAGTCCAAACGAATGCTGGCTACATACATGACAACCTGGCCCCGGTTGTTCAAACGTCGGATAGCGCTATCCACTGGATAAAGCACTATCCAGCGGATAGCGTAATTGATTTCCGTAATACTTAGCCGCTGGATAGTGATTTATCCGGTGGATAGCGCTATCCGACGTTTGAACAACCAGGGCCTGGAGATTAGGATTCCGGGCTCCTATTGTCGCCGGCAATCATAACCAATGACACATCGACAAAGTAACCATAGAGGAATCTATTCCTGCAAATTTATTTCGGTTGGCCTGGCCTACATCGCAGGCGTACTTGTAGCCTGCGACCCAACTGCGCATTGGAAATTTGGAGAGTCAGGGCAAGTGCTAATCTGCCGCAAATGATTAGGGCGACAAAAGAAGGAATCTTTTCTTACTTGTTCTCCTCCCATCCTCACTTCTTGCTTGGATCGCCACCAACATGCAGGGCACGTGCAGGGCTCGAAAAACGTCCCATCCGGTAGTCCGGGACAAGTAGATTTTCTTGCTGGGAAAGTAACCTTTAAAGCTGACTTGACTGACCAGAAGGCAAGAGTCTAAGCAAGTCATCCTCCTACAAAATCAGTATTTAAGACCAGCAAGAGGTGGCCTTGAGCAAGCAAAATGTGAGAGCTGCTTGCCCAAAGGATAAGCTGGAATTTTTTTTTTTCGAGCCCTGTCGTGTGGACCTTCGTCTCTCAGGGTGCCCAAATAGAGTTTGCTTGTAGGTTAGCTTTCCTTTTCTACGAACACGCCAGTGATACATGTATGCAAGCCATGTGTGGCCTTGGTCAACGTGTGGATACAGGAATAAGATAATAACTGTTTTTGTTTGTTACAGTTGAGCTTGTTCGCAGTGCTGGTGATGAAGAAGGTCGGTATGACAAACTGCTGGAGGAGAAAACAAGTAAGGAAGACTTGGTTGCTGTATTTGACTCCCTGAACTTCCTTGGGTCTTGTGCGTGGAAGACAAATAAACGAATACTGGATATTGCCATCCTCATGTTTAACACTGGTGGTAATGATGACTTAGCTATACCTGGTCCTGTGGCCGAGCCTCAAGTGGAGTCAAAATCGCCCAAGTGAGTTACTCCGAGACATGTTTATTTTCTTGCTGGGCAAGTAACTTTTAAAGCTTACTTACCCAATGGGCCAGTCATCCTCTAACAAAATCATTTACTAGCAAGACTAGCAAGAAGTGACCCCGGACGAGCAAAATGAGAGAGCAACTTGCCTATTGAAGACAAGCCTGAACTCTAGTAATTCAATTTTTGCAAAGTTTTTAGCTCTGGTTTTATATTCAGTCAGTTACTCGGGTACTTTTATTTATCTAAATCAATATTTTCAGGTCTAAAACTAACGCAGAAGAAAGAAGGAAACAAATTCAAGAAAGACGAATCGCCAAGAAACTGGCGCGTGAACAGTACTCCTTGCGCATGTCAGCTTTGTACAAACTCTCTGTCGCCAATCACTTCCGTGATCACGTTTTCTGGCTGCCAATCAACTTAGACTTCCGGGGAAGAGTCTATCCTATTCCTCCACACTGCTCGCATGTCGGTGAGTACTGGATCTAGCATTCAATGAGATTATCAGCATACTACTCTTTTAGGGAGTCTTTGTTAACATCATTGATTACAATTTTCAACAGTGGCCTAAAAAAACAGCCGACATTTGCCGACGCTGGCACCGGTTTTTCCCGCGAAATGACGTCTGAGAAACGAGCGCAGAAATTCCATACTGATGACGTGTCACTGGTTTTTTGCGTCAGTGCTTTCGATTGGGTGAAGTAGCGAGGGAAATTTGCTTCAGCCAATCAGAAGTACTATCCAGATCTGGTTAGTGACACGTCATCAGTATGGAATTACTGAAAATGTGTAAATGTCGGCTGTTTTCACAGGTTAGTCGTTGAGGACTGGGTTCCGCATTCAAAGATATTATAGGCATACTGCTGTGTTAGAGAATCGTTGCTAACATCATTGTTTACAGGCTTTTTTGTAGCCATAAACATTTTATAGAAAAGTCATCATGACAAGTAAACATGTACTCCAATGTCTGAAAGAGCTTCCCTTCAAGAAAAGATTAGCTTTACAAGTTTTAGTTCTGTGCAGGTAATACTTGAGGAAATATCCTCAATTGGACAAACGAAATATCAAATTTCAGTGTGGTATTAGCGTTATTGAAGCTATACATTTAGAATCGCATTTTACAAAGAAAAACTGGTCTTTGCAAGAAAGGTAATGACAATTCTTGTTAGTGTTCAGAATTTTTGATAAGTTATGTTTTTAATTGTCACTTAGTGAGGGAATTATTTTAAACAAAGATTCGCCTGTCGAAGGTCCTTTTACGATAGATTTTCAGTACCAACCTTCTCTCGTAATTGGCCATAACCGATTTTGAGTATGTCCATCATTATTTTTGTGTTTCCTAGGGGATGATCTAAGCCGAGGAATGCTTCAATTTGCCAAGGGTGTCCCCTTGGGGGAGAAGGGTCTGGATTGGCTGAAGATACATCTTGTAGCACTCCACGGTACTAAGAAAAAGTCTTCTTTAAAAGAACGTCTTCAGTATGCTAACGACATTATGGACGATATATTGGACTCAGCGGACAATCCCCTGACGGTAGGTGAATGATTGGGTCAACACTCCGGTAAATGCAAGTTCTACTTTCTTAGTGGAAGAAAATTTCTTATACGAAGCAGCTTTGTAAGGGATGCAACGCGACTATATCATTCTTGTATTTTTTATGGAAAATGTTCCCCGGCGGCGGGGAAAAAATAAAATTTCTTGTTGAAGAATAATAACCAACGGCTGGCGTGTGGTCAAACTAAAATGCTAACATGGTGGTACCTGTTTCCTTCTAAAAAGAAATCAAAATTCGCAGTCCTGGTGTATTTTTGGGGCGAGCGAAAGTGGCTTGTTTACGTTCGTAATGCCGTGGCCGCCATCTTTTGATTTTATGACGGAAGGTTAAGGAGAGTAGAGATATCAACCCTTGGGGTAGGCATAAGGGCGAAAGAAGGCGACGGGGAAGGGGAAGGGGAGAAACCCCGTCCCCTTCCTCGCCCCTTTGACTTGCCTTAACTCCTCGATTTTTTACGGTTACGCGAGCTTAAATATTCGTGCACCCTGGCTATGTAAGGGTACATTAGTGTTGTTTTTGACGTAGAAATGTGTTCGATCAATACCACCAAATTTGGCCACGGTTTCTGCCCGATATCTAACTCACTGCGTGCTCCAAGCCCATTAAGTGTTTATCTTCTTACAGGGTCGAGGATGGTGGAAAACCGCTGATGATCCTTGGCAGGCGCTGGCCACATGCATGGAGATCGCGGACGCTACCCGTTCCCCAGACCCCACGCGGTTTATTTCCCATCAGCCTGTTCATCAGGATGGTTCTTGTAACGGGCTTCAGCACTACGCTGCTCTGGGCCAGGATACGTATGGCGCTAAACAAGTGAATCTACTGCCTGCTGACAGGCCACAAGATGTTTATGAGGAGGTAAAAGTTGCGTTTCTCTCTAAGCATTAGCGTTGGGAGACTTGCGCGCTTTCATGATTCTGGAAGCTATAACTGACCTGGGTCTTCGGTCCCTGGTGGGTTCAACCATGCAAGGCAGGTTTTTTGGTGAAATGCCAGTCGAGTTTCCTGGACCTGTCTGTCGCGTAGTTGGTTTGTTACGTAAACAAACCACGAACTACGTTACGCGACAGACAAGCCACGCGAACGACTTCGTAAACGCTAAAAGCCATGCAAGAGAGAAACCTCTGCTCGCAGGGTACCAGATTGGAGGTTGCGCGATGAGTTAATATTCCATCCCCGTAAAACTGTGTCATATAGATGGCTGAAACCACACACACCGTTAAGAAAGGCTGGTGGAGAGACGTGGAGGCCTTTCGTGCAACAGAGCGCGAAGAGTCGAGTTGAGGTGGGAAAAATGGCATTGCATGCAATCGAACTACAGAGAACGGGAGTGGGAGGTGGGTGGGGCGAGGAGGGGGTTATGTTTGAGCAAGTGTAGGAGGCCGAGGAGGGCAAGGATTCGAGGGAATTCTCGAACGAGAAGAGCTAAATCCTAAATACCTACGATAAACTTTGTAGTCATTAGTATTATTTTTTCTGTACCTTGCTCTTCAGGTCGCTAAACTTGTCGAAGCTGCTCGGTTGCGTGACGCTGAAGCTGGTCACGAAATTGCTAAAGAACTTGAAGGAAAAGTCACTCGTAAAGTGGTGAAACAGACGGTTATGACCATTGTTTATGGCGTCACGTTCGTTGGTGGCCGATTGCAGATTGAGCGCCAATTAAAAGACTTGGAAATGAATGACAAAGTTATTTTTAAGGCTTCTACATACCTGGTCACCAAGGTTTTCGCAAGTATTGGGGAGATGTTTACTGCCGCAAGAGCCATCCAAGTGAGTCGATTAAATAGAATCAGAGGTTTCTTGTGAGCCCTGCAAGTTTATATAATTATGCAATTAGGGTTTGTATGTGTAATCAAATGGTGGCGAGTGGAGTTAGGGAATAATTTCACGCGCGTCTTGTCCAAATTCTAACATGAATTGACTGAATTGAGTGTTTAGTGTTAAGAATGGAATATCTTTGGTCTGTTTATAGTCCCTTTTTTGCTCGTAAGATCATCGGCATCGAGCACTTACCCATCCCCCGCCCAAGCAAATTTTTAACTCATCCCCGGTCTAAACTCGGTACATAAGATGAACCCATTCAATCTTACGGAGAATGACGGAGTCCCAATAGGTGGTTTTAACTTCTGAATCCGTGAACAAAATCCTATTGTGTGACCATTCAAATGACACCTCTCGAGCAATACTATAGCATGGTACTATTTGCTTTTCAGCCTGGTGAAAATTAGAAATGTTGTCGAGGCTTGACTTTGATCACTTTTGGGAGGGAAAGGTTTATGTTCATTTGACAGATTCTCCCCTTTGAAAGAATTCATTTGAATCTTTTGAACCTTGTAATCTTTTCTACAGCAGTCAAAAAAGTTATAAAGTAGAGACAGTTACGTATTTCTGCTAATAAACCTTGAAAATTCATCCCCCAGCCTCGGAATCAGCCTCTAATCAGGCCCCCTTCTTATATGCGGCCAATGGAAAAAAAGCCCCGGGGCGGCCAAATACGTGCAATATGGAACTCCACCTTTAATTATTCATTTCCTTTTTTTTTTTCGCATTTGAGGGAATACCATAAATGATCGATTAAGCGCCGCTCTCGACTGAGCGCCGCGACGCTTATTTGGTATTTACAAATTAACGCCCCACCTTTGCTACGGCGCTTGATATCGCTTGAGAAATAAGACCTCGACCAACTCGTGAGTTCTAAAGTTTTAATGTAGGGAAACTCTTGAAACCGGGTTCATATAACACTTCGAGGTGTAACTATTTTATACTGTTAGTACAAAATCATACATTCCAAGTACGCACCTCACTCAATTCTTTCTATATTCCCCTCAGTGTTTTACCCGTGGTTGAAATAGGCACCGCTCTCGTATAAGCGCCGCACCTATAACAGGTAAAATGAAATTAGCGCCACGTCGCTTAATCGATCATTTACGGTAGTTAGTAATGGCTTTTTCTTCACTTGCAGAATTGGTTTGCCTCATCAGCCACGCAGATCGCTTTGTCTGGTCATTACGTGGACTGGTACACACCCCTTGGTCTGTATGTCAGTCAGCCGTACTCCAAAAAGCCTCCTCAAAAAGTCGTGCGCACCAAGCTGCAATGGATGTTGATTAAGTCCAAAGGCCTGCCTCACGTCCCACCCGACTCTAGAAAGCAGCGTGGAGCCTTCCCGCCAAACTTTGTCCATTCGCTGGACTCTACTCACATGATGTTGACCGCGCTATTTTGTCAGCGATCTGGCGCGACATTTTCGTCGGTACACGACAGCTTCTGGACACATGCAGCCAATGTGGGAGTAATGAATCGAGTAAGTTAGAGTCTCTGGAAAAGATGGGTAGCCTGCTAATCGGGACCGGTGGTGGGTACCCTGTAAGCAATTTTATTTCCAAAAAAGTGGCCTTCGCTCGCAGGGTATGTCGTGGGAGAGAAGGGATTTGGCGAAGGACGGCTAGAGGCTGACACAAATCAGATGAATTAAAGTTAAAAAATGTATGGAATTTACTTCAAACTGACGTTATAATTTTGTTGATGCTGCAACAGTGTGTTTGTTTAGTTTTGATTTACCAAATTTATGAGAGCTTTACTACGAAAGTTCTAAGCGTTTGAATGCAGAAAATGTCAGGTGGTTGCGGATCACTTCCTGGTGATCTACGTACTCTTCAGGGGTACTGTTACTCTACGGGCTTTCATCATTACTAATTTCTGAATCCGGCCTACTTGGTTTTGATCGGGATTGTTGTACCATGCATTTGAAGGGGAGACCTCAAACTTCTCGATTAAAAGGTCTACATTAATGGGATTGAAATCTCCCTCATAGACTCGATTTCCGCCGGTCTTTCGGGTCCGATCGTGTTCCTTCCTGAAAAGAGACGGCTGGACGCGTGAGTCGTCGATCGTATCTGTGACTTTTATTCAAAATTTAATTTATGCATCGTTAGGAAACGCCGGAAATGGGAAATGTCATCAGACACCAAACACATGCTGTGTTTTTGCCTCTTCGCCAAAAAAAACCTGCAGCAATACGTATGCCGGCGTACGTCTTTTCAAAAAGGAGCGCGGGCTCATTTCCCGAACAGCGGTTGGTAATCGAGCCTTACCAGCCTAGCAGCCGACAGCCTATCTCCCTTACGGAGTGAGAGTTGAGGGTAAAGGTGGATAGAGACAATGTATGGAAGGTCACGCGTAAAGGTAAAAGTTAAACCTCGCACGGAAAAATTACGCGACAGTGGAAATCAATCCTAAGGGTCCATATGAATGGCATTACTATTGAATGCAGGCTTCTTCCACCGTTGTTCACCGATTTAGTATGTTGTGTGGTTTTTGGCATCTTGTGTGGTGTCAGTAGTAAAGAATCCTTTGGTTTTTGTCCTCTTTACTCAGATTTGTCGTGAACAGTTCGTTGCTCTTCATAATGAGCCAATACTGGAGGAACTTCATGAACATTTCCACAAGAATTACTCAGACCTGAAGTAAGTCAATTAATCGTTTAATGAGTCAGCGTGATTATGTCATGATATGAAGCACATGGGAAGTTTGAAGTGTAGGAAAGAGGCGTAAAGGTGATGTTACGCGGGACGATTCGCAACGACGATTTTTAACGCAATGTAGCGTGGCAACATTGCTGCGACATTGTTTCGAATGTTACAACATTGCTCCAACATTGCAACGCTGTGTTGCGCTAAAAATCGTCGTTGTGAATCATCCCATGTAACATCACCTTAAAGGTTGCTCGAGGCGCAGCCAAAAACATTTAGAAAGGTTTTAGAATTCATAATAAGATTGAAAACGACATTTCGCCGACGAATTGTTTCGAAAGAGAGGACTGCAAAGAATAATTTACACGCCACAGCACTAACACCCTCATTCCTCTACTATCTGTTAACAAACTCAAAGGTTTTTCTCTTTAGATTACGTTATTAAACACATGGTAAATGCTTCATCGTGTACTATTGAGGTGCGGATGCACGTGGGAGGATTTGCTAGACTCACGAGAACGCGGTCGTTATTAGCGCGCTAAGTGGGAATATGAAGCACGCTCGCTTTAGACCATTTGCAAGGTGGCGTCGTTTTATTAGTACTACCAGAATCCATTTCGTTTTCCGTTCATATTTAAATTTGCCAATGCCAGCGAGGATTAAAACAACAAAAATATTAATTTACATAAGAAAGCAAAACACTGAAGAATTCTGGTATTGGTAGTAGTAAAATGATGTCATCGTGCAAATGGCCTATTGAACGTTCGATATATTAAAATTCTGACATGACTCCGAGGATTTCTGGTCATTTTTCTATATTTGATTTGGTTTTCTTTGTGCTCAAGTCTCTTCTGCGAATTGTGAGACAATGGAGTTTGCAATTTTGTCCCCAAAGCCTCGGAGTCGTGATAGAATTTTAATATATCGAACGTGGGCCATTTGATTACGCGAATATTCTATCTATGTTATAACGCCTACTCCATCGCTGTTTTGTTCCTGGTAACACACGATTCTGTTTGACTCTCCAATATGGCGTTTTTGCAGGTTAGTTCGTCCGTTAAAATCAAAGGAGAGTGGAAAGGAACTAACACATGTGACATTCGAAGGAAGACCAGATTACGGTATGTTTGTATAGGTAATAGCATGATTTGTAGTGATATTTGGCATAAATACCACGAGTGATGTTTCAAAATTGTTATACTTAATTTCACGAGCCTTAAGGCGAGTGAAGTATGAGACAATTTTTAAATATCACTAGTAGTATTTATGCCAAATATCAGGCACAAATCATGCTTAATTGTTTATACTACTACCCAGGAAAAGTTTGTGATTTTCACATGTAGTAGTTATTTCAAATTAAGCTGAAATACCACTGCTCTAAGCCAATCAAACTGCAGAAATTTCTCATGTAGTAATATAATTCACCTAAAACTACGAGTAAGTACCCTGAGTACCACACGTTTTCCTCGTCTGCGACTTTTGCGGTGTTTGCTGGGAGATGCTTCTGGTTGGCTGCTAGCCTGCGTAGCCATTCGTCGAAAATTTCTCGAAAACTCGCTCGGAAACGACGCAGCCTAGTCGGCCCGTAGGCCGAAGCCACGAGTGGCGAAGCCGAACCACTTATTGACCCCTGGATGTTTTCGTATAAGCAGGAATGTAATTGGTTCGGCGCTATAAAAGCGATGGCTTTCTGGTCCAGATTTAAAAGCGTCTGGTTTCAAGGGTATCGAGTCAGCTGTGCGGTCAAATTCATATATCGGTTAAGTCGTTCGTGAAAATGTGGTTTCTATTCCTTCATTCCGCGGTCTTCGTTATATATTTCATTATTTGTTTATTTGCTTTTTTCTATTGTGGGAAACGTAGGTAGCGTGTTTTTTAATAAGGTTGTATGACTCAAAAGATTTGATCGCCTGAGTATCTCTTTCTCGCGCGTCCTGCACTTTTTAGGACAGCCGCTGACAAGGCGCTGGAGATGACAGTGCACGATAAACAAAGTAGAGACGCTCATACTTTCATTGAAATGCAAGAGAATACACTAGAAGTCGCCCGAACAGTCCTTAATGAAACTACTTGTAGCTTACATGTACTGAGTACATGTAACCTTAACAGCGTTTTCTCTCCTTTTCATTTATTTTCAGGAGACTTTGACATCAAAGAAGTTCTTAACTCCACCTACTTCTTCTGCTGAACAATGTCACAATGCTGATGTATGTGTTTATGTACCTTTCTTCCGTGAAAGTAAAGCCTGTACGATTTTAATTCCTGAGATTGAAGGCTGAAAACCCCTGAGTTGGGAACTATCTTATTGGGAGTTTCACCCTATGTAAGGTAATCTGGATTCCGGAATACGAGAAATTTTTCTTTGCGAAGTGCGAAATCCGGGATGTTTCTGCTTTTGAAATCTGGAATCCCGCTAATGATTAGAATGCGGAGACAAGGAATCCCGAATCCAGTACTTGGAGTCCAGAATGAAAGGAATGGCATGGGACCAGACGAGTCGTTTCGCGCTTGGCTCAAAATGCCGCGTTCGCCTCGCTTGGCTCGTAAAGCGCCTGTTATACAGGCTTCCACGCTAGTAAATAGACAACTGGATGCCTCGTCCTGTTGTGTACTAGCTGACGTCATGACTTAGTCAAAGGCATTTGAAGAACGCAAGGTAAAGTTTGAAAATTTGTGATGGTGGGTGGTAATTGGCAAAAAACGGCGACACAATCAAACCAGTGCGCCCACCATATTCGGAAGCCATGCGGGCTTCAAAGCTATTAACACTGCTGGTGCTGGATCCTTTTACAAAAGCTCGCGGAATATGCTGTGATAAGTTGTACATACGGCGAATACTTTACGAAAATGAAAGTTTGTAAATAAAAGTTTATTTGGCTGTAAACATATATGTAGGTACTTTGGACTGCTTTTTAAAATAGCTCATGTATTCCTCTTTAGGGTATTCAGCTGAAAATAACAAAAGGGGCTATTTACATGATAACATGGTATCATACCGGGATGAGAATTTCATCCGGTTTGAAAACCGTAATGATTCGTAGGGAACGATAGGGTCCAGCGAACAGTCTCGAGCGCCGTCGCTTTCACGATTTAGTGATCGAGTGAATGCAATACGAACTACATTCTGGCAGGAAATTCATTCATGCATCATGTGAATAGCCCCTAGCAAACAAAACACAATGACCAAAATACCCCAGCAAAAAATACTTGAAACACTCATTTCGTTTCTGTCAAGAAGACTCGTACGTCATGCAAAATGCCTGCCTCGCAGGCGGTTTTTTTTCTTGTCTTCTTCAAAGAACTGGCCCTTGCTCTTTGCCTTTGCTTTAATTCCAAAAACCTGACCTTTTTCACCGTTTATATTACGATGATTAAAAGCACACTATAAACTCAGGGGTAATATGATTGAAGGAAAACTACAACGTTACCGTACATTTATATTATTCTATAGTAATTATTACTCAAATCCGAAGGATCCCCGCGTGTTTACATTTCCTGTTAGGACGAATTTATTAATACGGTTTCACTTTCTTTATCACTGCTTTATTTGTTTCGACTGTTTGTCCTCATTGTCCTTCCTCTTTCTGTTTTTTCTCGTCACTCTCTTTTCTTTCTTCCTCTTTTTCCTCTTTCTTTTCATCCTCTTTTTTGCTTTCTTCCTTCTTTTCAGTCTCTTCTTTATCTCCTTCGTTCTTTTCATCCTCCTCTTTCTCTTTACTTTCCTTTTCGTTTTCTCGTTTTGTTTCCTCGTTGTCATTCTTGCTGTCTTTGTTTTCCTGTTTGCTGTTGTAAAAATCACACACAAAAAAAATTGAACACTTAAAGATAAAACAAACGCTCTTTTGAGTCCATATGATTGACGTGTGTTATCGGGCAGTTGGACTATCAGAATCAATACATTATATACTTGTCATTGTATAGTTTAGAAAAGCTTGCCAGTGGCTTGTATTTTTTACACTACCCGCATCAACAATTACCCCAACAATACCACGAACATATACAAAGGATAGGATAACAACTGCTATGTGAAGAGCATCTGCTGAAACTGCCACAAGGTAAAGGGAAATGTTACAAAAAGTGGAAACTTAACATTGATCAAGGTAAGCACGTTTCTATGTTGGAAATATGTTACATGAATAATAAAACAATACTATATATCTTGGATGGTGTTATATCCACCTCAGCTGACCTGCATAATCCTTCACTGATAATTACTAAATTCCTTTACATTACATATTATAAATTATACTCACTATCTGTCTTCTCATTGGCTAAGAACCTGCAGTTAACTTTGGAAATCCAGTTAACCAACAGATTAGTTAGTTAACTGGTAGCAGACTGAACTGACTAATCTGCAGGTTAATGCATGCACAATGCATTGATTTCCAAGAGCAGTCAGTTATGCAATGATGACATTATTTTCTTCAAAACAATGTATAATAAAACAGATCCAGGTTTTATGATACCCTGAATAATCAAGGACACGGTAAGTATTAATAGCCTTGGGTGATAACACTTACATAAACCTTGACAGACCGCAAGTGGTCATCCTTCTTTCCTTTGTTGCCAGGCGCAGCGAGCGAAAAAGTGAAATTATGCAAATTAATGGTAAAGGGAGGAGAGACTGGTGTGGTGCCCCCCACGCATGCTCTTAACTTCCTTGACTCAAAAGAAAAATAAAGAGACTGCTCGCAATCTACAACCTTGATTATTCTGGATAATTATCACAAAAACCTCATCCAACAATTTGTGTATAAATTACCCTTGATCTTGTCCAGGAGGACAAGCTTCAGTTTGGCATTCTTCTGTCTCCTTATCTGGTCCTAGGCCTTCACAGCCCCTTCCGCCATTAGCAGGTGCAGGGTTGGTGCATTCTCTGGTTCTCTCATGAGTACCTCCCCCGCAAGTTACTGTACACTCACTGAAGGATGACCACTCTGAGTAACCTCCATCAACTGTGAAATAATCAATGCTTCCACAGTGATTTTCTTACAAATAGTTATGGTGAGTCCTGGAACTCATCTTGTGAAAAATCATGGGTCCCAGTGCAGAACCAATAAATCCCAGTTCAAAAGACAATGAATCCTAAGGGACTTGTCAGAAATTAGCAGGGGGGAGGGGGGGGTGGGAATTCTACATTTGGGTTCAGAAATGAGGTGACCCATCCCTGCAATGGGAGTGAAATTTGCTAACCCTCCCCTTGACCTTGGCCTAAAATATCATGATCCTCCCCCTCTTGTGTAAGTGATAAAGTCTAGTTCTTGCAATACACTAGGGTGAGTCAGTATTATGAAAGCTCAAAATATATTTCTAATTTGCTCTTTGTAATGCCATATACATACATTTTAGATGACAACATTAAGAGTCCGACTCTGATTCTTACAGCTGATCTCTAGACGCTCCTATTTTTCCCAGGTTTCTTTACAAAATAAAGAACCTCCTTTTTCTTCTATGGGTGAACTTCTACATGATCACGGGCATATATTTGCATGACCCGCCCTCTTTTAACAGCCCATTTTTCATGATCCCTCCCTTTTCCAAGTCTCAAAAAGTTGTGACCCTCCCTCTATTTCCACCTCCCCTCCCCCCTGCTAATTTCTGACAAGTCTCTAAATTGAAAATGCTTGGCTTTATGCAACCAGACAGTTAATATGAAGACAGACTCCAAAACTCTTCACACTGTCTTTACACGTAGTACAGTTTACCAAAATTAAAATATCCTTCTATTTAAAGCACAAAAAAGACTAAAATAAACATGCATCGTTAAACAACAACCACAATAACAGCCACAGAAATCATATGAACAGGATATTCTACAAAAGCGTCTTCAGATCTAGTGATCGATCTTTGCATTCTACAGGACGCATGCCATGAATTATTTTGGGGATTTTCATGCATCAAGGACACAGGACGCAGAGAGAACAAAATCACTGCTTCCAGGGTTATGCATTTTGAAAAGATTACATTAAATTTTAACAACTGTTAGAACTCTAACTGAAAATATTTTCAAAAATCAAGCTTTTGACTGCCTGATCTGTGTTTTTAATGCATTGACTTTCTAAATTTGTTTTTTATTTGCATGGGTCCGTTCAAAAATTTTGATAGGAAACTCTTGTTCATGTCTGCTTAACACTTGTTTTCTGCTAAATACAGTAGAAAATATGGAGGAATGTGGCACTTGACCCTTATGTTTCTTACTTTCTTCTTATAGTCAGCAACACTGCTCAATCAAACAGGGTTGTATGAATGAAAAAAAAGAAATGGCCGACAAGTGAAAAAAATCTTGATTCACATGGCCCTAATTCAGTGGCCTTAGTTCCAATGAATTCCCCTGTAGCATAGTGGTAGAGTGTTTGGACTAGACACTAGAAGATCAAAGGACTGGTTTGACTCCTGTTGGGAGAACTCAGATTCTTCTTACAAGCCAAACTTCAAAAACGTCTTTCTCAAGGTCTTAATTGTGACACAAATTCCTCTGATGAGTATCACGGGAAATGTATAGGGAAAAGTGTGAAGTGTGAATATTAGGGTTTATTAACCCTTTAAGTCCCAGTGGTGACCAACATCAATTTTCTCCTAACAATATCCATAGGGTTGTATGAATAAAAAAAAAAGAAATGGCCGACAAGTGAAAAAAATCTTGATTCACATGGCCCTAACTTAGTGGCCTTAGTTCCAATGAATCCCCTGTAGCATAGTGGTAGAGTGTTTGGACTAGACACTAGAAGATCAAAGGACTGGTTTGACTCCTGTTGGGAGAACTCAGATTCTTCTTACAAACCAAACTTCAAAAACGTCTTTCTCAAGGTCTTAATTGTGACACAAATTCCTCTGATGAGTATCATGGGAAATATATAGGGAAAAGTGTGAAGTGTGAATATTAGGGTTTATTAACCCTTTACGTCCCAGTGGTGACCAACATCAATTTTCTCCTAACAATATCCTTAGATTGTCAGGAGATTAGGTTATGAGAGTTAATAAAATGATCATCTAAGAGTAAATGCTTTGATCTTTTATCAAATTCTCAACACATTCTTTAAGGAAATATATAGAGATCAGTTTGGAGAATTTGTATGTGGATATTGGGGCTTAAAGGGTTAAGGGGTTGATCCAGGTTTGACTATACTACTCACTCGGGCAAGGGTCCTTATGACAAGTTTGAGTCTCCACGTCAGGTCCCAGTTCTTGCTCAATGCACGTCTTACCACCAAACTGAGGTTCAGGATTGTCACATTTGCGATCTCTTTGCTGCACTCCTTCCCCGCAAGTTACTGAGCAATCTTTGAACTCACTCCACTGGCCATAGCCACCATTAACTGCAACCGTTACAATTAATAACAGTCATTGTCACTTTGAAAACAAAACTTTACTTAGTAAATCCCCAGAACTGCATGAAACCACCTTCACCCCTAAAGATCAAAAGTATTTCAAGCACGATGATCTCACCAGGACAACTATCCAATACACAGGCCTTGGTTTCAATGCTTGGTCCCAGTTCTAACTCGTCACAAATTTTGCCCCCAAACAATGGTTGAGGACTGTCACATCTGCGCTCACGTTGCTGCACACCCTCACCACAAGTCACTGAACATTCACCAAAGTCTGACCAAGGACTATAGCCACCATCAACTGTGTATGGTCATGTAGTTAGGTATTACATGTGCACTACCAGTGACATTACATAATTGTTATCATCACTTTAGGGTATAGTTATAAACTCTTTCAGTAATCTCTTACACTTTGCGTGACATTGATGAACAGTGACCCTGCCTTGTACACATGCACATTGTAATCAAGGCTCAAAACAGAAGCCTGTCTGGTTGTGTTGGCTTGTTGACTAATTTCTGTCAGGCATCTAATGATTTATGCTCGCACTTGCTCAATATATAGGCAAAGGCCCAGGTAAGTCATCTCTTAACTAAATCTTATACATCGCCAGTGTAGACAATGGCCCAGGCTAGGAGCTGGACAGGCAAATTTTGAGCATTGGACACTGGAATAGTCAATTTTTTTCTATAGTCCCCAATATAATGATATAATGTTATTACACTCCAGGCTCTTAAACTTTGAAAGTTATCATAACAGCTGGTGGTGTCTAAATAAAGACCATACCACAGCTCACTCTGGTCTTTAAAAGCACACTCTGAGGCCTTGGCAAGGTTAGTATACACTTTTATACTTGGTTCAATTTTTAAATTATCTTTTATTTGTTTTTTTGAGCTTACTGGCTCATAGCTCCATGCATTCATCTGCATAAGAATGAATAACTGAATGAATGATGGTAAGGTCATTTTCTATTGTTCTCATAAGTGCAGTAACGAGACATTTGGGACAGCTTGCATCTTAAATTTATTCCAAACACAGCCTTTCTTAAAACTTCTTACCTCCAGACCTTTTACCATCCAACTCCATTTTCCTCGAGACATACAATCACATTTTGTATTTTAATTTTTTTAGGTGGGCAGGGCAAAAATGTCAACTTACTAGGGCAAGGAAGAATGTTGCATTTAAATGTCTGGCTATCTTCTCCACCACAGTCGAACCCACCAAATCTTGGAGAGGGGTTGTCACATGTTCGTGTGCGGAATCGTGTGCCAGTACCACATGTTTTTGTGCACTCGGTAAACACTGTCCATTCAGAGTAACCTCCATTAACTAACAAAGCAAAAACCAACAACTATATGACTCCCTTTGATCTGGAAATGATGGCTGTTATAATATAACTGTCTAGTCTGCAAACTCAATGCTATTTCATAATTCAATAACCATACCAGAAGTCCAATAACCACACATTTTATGACAGTTAACAAAGCTTAAGAGTTTTTCTCAAACCGGAAGTGATTACTAGGTGCAAATTTTTTCAGCTTCTAACAAGAAAAAGTTGAAAAAGTCATTAATATTAACTCAACACTGCCAAAAAGGGTCCTTTAAAATTATTTTTAATAAACTTATAAGGTTTGAAAATGGTGTATCAGAATCTAGCAAAGATATAGTTTCAGAAAGTCCTCAGCAAGAATTAATTTTACAGATATTTTATAATTTCCCCCAACTTTACAGAGCTTCATCGTCCTTGGTTTTCAGCATGAAAACCTGGCAAGGTGACTGCTTTTTGGCTCCTTTTTCCAGAAATTTGTTTTTAATGGACTTTCGCTACAGTTACGTCCAATGTTAAAATTTGACTACAGTAAAATTTCGAAAAATAAGCCTCGGGGCTTATATTTTTCAAAGGCCCTTTTTGAGGGGCTTATTTTTGGAGGGGCTTAAATATTCGGAGGGGCTTATCTACGGAGGGAAATTTGCATTTCAAAATCGATTGGGCCAGCTTGTAAAGGGAAGGAAATTTACCATTTTTGCTTTGTTTTTCTTTGTATTCGAGGGCAAATTCCAAGTACAAGCCCCCCCGGGAGCTTATATTCGGAGGGGCGATTTAACGGAGGGTTTTTTGCGTTACGATTTTGGGGGGCTTATATTTGGAGGGGCTTATACATGGGGGGCTTATTTTCCGAATTTTACGGTATCTGAATACTATACGCAAGTTTACCTTATTTCTTTGCTTACACTACATTAAAGCTTGTGTATCATATATCGCCTCTACTCAAGAAAAAAGCTAATCAGTTACTTTTCAAGTACGACGTTGACGCTATTTTCGACTATATTATTTTTTTTTATCTTTCATAACAGCTTATCCAGTTCAGGAAGGTTGATCGGCGAAAATTCTTCGGCCAGAATTTTAAGCCACATAACCTTAATGCTTAGGCTACAAATTTCTAACACACTTCGGCTCATGGTAGAGTAAAATCGACCTGGGCTGATCTTGTTTAGCCGGTAAGCTTAAATAATGCTTAAATGGAAAAAAAATGTCTTATCACCTCCTCCCTGCTCAGCTGCCAATTCGCTCGTACCGTGTTTGTCTGTTCCAGGTTATTGGTCGTGAACGTGGCTTTGTACGCAATAATCATAATAATCACGAAAAGGGGAAACGAAAAGACTTACCTCGCAAAATATACCTCACAAAATTATGGGCCACAAAAACTGTAGCGGCTACTAAAGCTATAATTGTCAAAGTCTGAAACACATTTCGAGGCATGTTTGATTGAGCAGATCAATCTAATCTACAAACTCCAGCCGGCTAAAAGAAAATACAACCAAATAACTTTCTCTGTCAATGAATATATTACCACTCACCTCTAACATGTTTACGTGTTATATTTGGTTTTCCGTTCCCTCAACAACGAAATGTTTGAAGAAAAAATCTGCGACTTTCAGTAGCCATGTTAGATTGGAACAGCGACCACTTAGTTACCAGTGGTTACAGTAACCCCACGTCTCCGCTTCGTCTCCGCAGGTAACATGGGAGCTGGAGACTAATTTCTTTAACATGGAGCGGTTGCCAAGATGGGTACTATCAAAAGAGGAGTGAGCTTGTTCGGGGCCGTGTTTTTTCGAAACCCATTCACTCTTAAAGGAAGCGTTAGATTTGTGTGCAGAAATATGTCAATGAAAGCTCTAGTAGTGGAGGAGTTTGGAGACTCTTCGAAGCTGAAATATTCAGAGACGACAAAACCAGTCCCTGCGGATGGCGAGGTAAGCATGTAAGCATATAAAAGCTTTATAAATGTATATCATGTCATAAAATTAATGCCCGGCGAAAATCGATCGAAAGTAGCATGTCTAGCCTTGTGCTTACATGCAGCGACAGTTAAGCAATTAAGCTGGCGGCTCGAAAGTACTAGCCTCCTAACTACCTACGCAGACGTTCTTTGGGCTTCGTCACGTGTTCCTTCCCCTCGAAATTTGGGAGGATTGCGTGACGAAGCAAAGAGCGTCAGTGTTGGTACTGGCCATTTTTTACAGGCAGAATAGGAGGCAGTTTAGGAGTAGTCAGGTGCAGAAGAAAGCAAATTTCAAAATGCACATGGTGTCTTCTCTTTTTACTTCACTCTGTCCTGGTTGCCTGGTCGTTTCATTACACAATCCTACAGTGTTAGATCTAGGCAGTATGATGGCACTTGTAGCTTTTTTCTCCTTGCTTATTCGTGTGTGCCTTGAATTGACATTAGTCAAATGAGACTGAAATGGGACCAGGGACCTGGAAACTGCTAAACTGAGAGGGAAAGATCTCACTGGTGCCAAAAATCACCCCTTAAAGGTGTCATGATCATTTAGGCTAGTGTTAGGGTGATTGGCTGGTTTTGCACTACACATCTCTTACTGTGCATAACAAAGTGGCTGGGTGTGGTTGTTGCCAAAGGGTCCTAAACAGCTGTATTTGTCAGCATTGTGACGTGAAAACGAGCATGTTGACCGGGCCATCTTTTTATTACTTTTTTATCATCTTCTTGACTTGTTACACCAGTGTACCATGTTTCATCTACGATCTTTGTTAGATTCTACTAAGGAATCACCTTAAATGATGGGTTTTAAGAAAACAATGGCCTAGAAAATGAAGATCTACCACCCATTAAACAAGGTAGAAAATAACAACCTGTGAATTTCATGATCCTAGGCATTAATTGCCAGCAGGCTTTTCCCCTTTCTGCTCTGCCTGGCGCTTGGTTTCACTGTATTTTTTCTGTATAATTTGTTCTAGGTTCTAGTGAATAATCAGATATGTGGCCTTAACTACCTAGATGTCATTATAAGAAAGGGAGCAATTCCCCTAGGGAGACTGGGATCTAAGTTTCCTGTCACCATGGGGGTAGAGGCTGCTGGAATAGTGGAAAAGATTGGTGATAAAGTGGATGGTGTAGCTGTTGGAGAAAGAGTAGCATATGTAGTTATTGGATCCGGTGAGTATTCTATGTTTACACACAGCTTTGTACATCTCATGGAAATTGTACAGATAGGATACTTAACATGGCCATCGCATACAACATTTCACTTCAAGAGTTGTAAAAAACAAAGGCTCTCAAACTGTGATTGCACCAAACAAGTGAAATATTTTTCAACCTAAGAAGAGAAAATCCTCGGAAGATGGAGGGACTTGTATTTAACCTGTGTAGTTATAGGGATTCAATTTATGGCTTGAAACCCAGTTAAGGCCAGTAAACAAAGGCCCTTTTATTGGTCAAACAAAAGCAACCCCCTCTGTCTGGCTGAGGCAATGTCCATGGTTGATTCCCCATCTGGTATTCAAATAAGATGATTACGTTTCAACAAAACACTGCCAATCCCCTAAAATGACTAAGGCAAGTACAGTGACAGTGAAGAAATATTAAAAGTGTTTGAATTATTTATTGCTCTGACAAAGTATGAGAATTTCGTATCTTTTTCTGTCAGAAAAGGTCAGACACATGTTGTTGATTTTAGTGGGACAAAAATTCTTTGTTTTGACCATTTGATGAAATACTGGAGACTAACCAAGATAACTTACAGGCCATCATACCAGAAACAGTAAAATGTTGAGTTAATGGTGGTGTTTGAAGTTAATTTCCCTAAATTAAGTTATGCTTATAAATTTATGATTTTGTTTTGTTTTGTACAAAAGGGAAGTGCTATTTTAATATTTTTTGCCTGACCAGGAGCACATGCGGACTATTCTAAAGTTCCTTCTTCAAGGATAGTAAAAATTCCACCTGAGATAACTTTTGAACAGGCAGCCACTGCCATGATACAAGGAATGACTGCACACTACCTTGTGCATACAACAGGGAGAGTGAAGCCTGGAGACAAGGTCCTGGTGCATGCAGCTGCTGGAGGGACTGGGTCTCTAGTGTGCCAAGTTGCCAAGAATGCTGGTAATTATATGGGATAGTGAAGTATGGAAATTATGCTCAGAAATCTCAATGGCATATTTTCTTCAAAGTCTTATGTGTAACTTTTAAAAAGCTTACTTGCTTTTGAAGCAGACATAACTGCTTTTCAGGGCATAATTCTTACATTAACTGTGAATTATTTTCTGTGGCTACAATAGTGCATGCACTCTGATTGGCTGTGGAGTGGGCAAGATTTTCTTGTAATGACCAGGCATTAGGACATGAAAATTTTTCTTGGCTCAATGGTTCTTTTGAGTTGTGAGTGAAAGCTACAAGTGCGAGGGCGAAAACAACAAAAACTACCAACAAAATATAACTATCTTTTCAAAAACTGAAAGAAAAATACCGCATCAGCCTTGATGTACTGACCTTGCTATCGCTTAGTCAATACATGATCAAGGTCTCGGTCTGAGATTTCCATTTAATGACCTCACTCATTGTTAATTAGTGGTATATCATGAATCCTCAAATAATTTTTATTTACTAAAAGTGTAATGTGCAACTTGGCATATCTGTGCTTAAAAATTAGACTTGATCATCTTTTCTCCAAAAGACACATTCTTTTGTGTATTATTTTCACAAAAACCACTTTTCCTTCAAGACATGAGACCTAGTAATTATATACCCTGGAAAATAAAGGGAAAACATTTGAGAGAGGCAGAAAAGCAAAACTTTTGAGTCTGCTCTCCCCCCCTCCCCTAGAGAAAATAATAGATAAGAAAGCATCTATAGTGTGGTATCAGTAAATAGAAAAAGATTTCAAGCATGAGCTACACTTTGAGATCTCCAAAAGTAAAATAATTCAACGAAACCCATACCTGGTTCTGTAATTATTTCTGAAGGAGCCTTTGTGATTGGAACAACCAGTACAGAGGCTAAAGCAGCAAAGGCGAGGGAGTCTGGGGCCGATGACGTCATCCTTTACTCACAAAAGGATTTTGTGGAAGAAGTGAACAGGATAACGGATGGAAAAGGAGTAAATGTGATTTATGATGGCATTGGGAAAACAACCCTGCACAAAGGTATATTAATAGTAGTTCTACCTTAAAACACGTTATGAAAGTTTGTTCCATTGAGTCCTCTCAACTATAACCTACCCTTGATGCCAGACGTATTCACACTCACCAGCGGTGAGAACCATAAAGGGCAAGTTGCTGACGTGCTGGTCGCTGACTTGTTCTCACGGCTTTGCTGATCAATATTTCCGTCGCCACCAAAGAGAAAAAAACCTCTTACACCGAGGGTATTTCAACCTCCCTATCCCAATGTTGTTTCAATCACGCAACTGTAAAACAACCTTTCATTTTAGAACAGGGGAGCGGGGCGTTTCGAGAAGTTCAATGACGAGAACTGTAGTCTCTGCCTTGTAAATTAGGTTTATGTCCTTCTTTCCTCTCCACCAAAGCCTGTTTTTAGATGTCCTACTTTGTCCAGAAGTCGGTAGGAGACTCTTGCAAAGGTGAAAGGAAAAGAACTAACATAGGCCGAATACTCCAAATGATCAGCGCTATTGTGGGAATTTCCATGGCTGAATTACAGTGGGAAATATGGAATATTCAAGGTCACTGGCTATACACCTAACTACGAAAAATGGTCTGCAACTGGCTTTCGACTTTATAATCATTAACATGAAAAAGAATAGCAAATATCGCAAGTACCGCGAAAAATCGTCCGACTGGTGATTTTTCGCAATTTCAGCTGCATAAATTTGGGTAAAATCCGCAACTGGATTTCGAATTAGTCTTCAGCGTGACAAAAAAAAAAAGCGAAAATCCCAAGTATCGTGAAAAATTGCCTACCCTGTGATTTCTCGCAATTCGCGCAAATTTTGCAAATTAGAGAGAGAAGAGCGGAAAATCGCAATGAATGCGAAAATTCGCCAACCTGGCAGTTTTAGTGATTTTTCGTGTGCTTGCAAAACATTTTTGCAGCTGTGTGCAAACCTGAACATAATATTGTATCAAAATATCAATAACAAAGAAACAGCCAGTCGATTATGAGGCGCATATATGTACAGTAGATTGGAGAGTGTGAAGTTTTTTTTTTTTTAGTTACATACAAGTTTGTTGGGTTTGTTGAGGTCTCCCAAAGGAGAAGTGCATAAAATAACGTAGAACCAGCAGTCGCTGAGAAAGGATATTTTCCAATTACACGTAGTGGGAGGCTGATACCCAAAACGCTGGATAACTCTGACTACCCCAATTTTTAGAAGTTAAAGGGGTTATGTCACGAGGCCCGGGGAGGTACTCCCTTATATATAACGAACTTTTAGTTTTATTTTCAGTTTTCTTTTAGCCCCTGAAGAAGGTTTGTTTTCAAACCGAAATATTGGGCAATTTGTTTAAACATATATTTTTTTGTTTTCTTCTTTTGTTTACTTCTTCATCGCCTTGCCGTAAGGATCAGTTTGCCGTTTCATATTTTTTTTACTCCCTTATATAAGCCATATAGGCATGAGCTAATCTCGTACCCAGATCTCACTCTGTTTTACACCCTTTCCCTTGGCCGTGGGAGATCTGGGTACGAGATTAGGCATGAGCCGCTCCAAAGGGTATCGTTCTTTGCGCCATTTTGGTCTGAACTGATACGGGTATAGACTTTGCCCATTTTGGTCTGGAATCAGGTATGGGTTTAGATAGTCTGCTACACAGCCGTTTTTAGTGTCGTCACGCAACGCTCCTCCGTGACGACACTAAAAACGGCTGTGTAGCAGACTAGGGTTTAGAGGAAACTGCGGGAATGTATGAAAGTATTTGCCGTGTTAATTCCAAATGAATAAGAAAGAAAGAAATCTTTTTTCGTTGGTGTTCTAGTCTAAGTAATGATGGCATGATTTGTTACCAGCCAGGTCTGAAAACGGGTATGGATTTTAGAGGCCAGGTCCGAAAGTGGGTGTCAGTAATAACATGCATATTTTGGTCTGAAATAGTGTTAGTAATTGGATACATACATGCATAGCCCCCCCAGGAATTCCCAGGAATACCCCCCGCCCCCCACCGGGTCACGAGGATATTGCTGTTTTAGGTCAATTCTGTGCTGAAGTCATGGATCATTTTACGTTTCTGTGAAACTGCCCACCTACCTCTCCCCTAAGTCGACATTTTGCCCTAAGTAAGAACTGAGTGTTAATGTTGGTTTAGGGGAGGGGTAAGTGGGCAGTTTCCCAGAAACGTAAAATGATCCGAAGTCATTGCTAGTTCCTTTCCCCATACACAAAATGCTCCTGCAGAGTTATGAAGGCGACATCAAACAAATAATTTCATCAGATAACACCAACCATAATAACTCTTTTTGATTTTGCAGGCACAGCTTTTTCAAATTTTAATCCACGCCCATCCTTGCCATTCTTTGTAACAGCCGACGGAAAAACAGTTTGAATGCCCAAATATAGTCTTGGATAACTAGGCTGAATCTATATTTTTGAATTCAATTGATACGAAAAAAGTTCTACTAGCTTTTCAAAATGATATATAGCAAATAGCGTGACATAACCCCTTTAAGCCCGAACATCAACATGCATCTTCTCCACACTGTTCTTCATACATTCCTTATGGTACTGCTTGAGAGAATTTGTTCTAACATCACAGCTTTTCATCTTTGGTGATCATTCAATTAATTCTCATGACCTGTCTGTCTGATCAAGCAGTGTGATTGTTGGAAGAAATTGGATATGGGTCACTATAAACTTGTTATATGTACGTGTTTTAGGTTTCAATTGCTTGGCTATCCAAGGAATCATGGCATCCTATGGCGTGGTATCGGGAACGCCTGAGCCGGTGGAGATCAGCACCCTCGCAAAAGGATCCTTCTCCGTATGCCGACCCTCCTTGTTCCATCATATTGCCACAGACGAAGATTTGAAGTGGCGAAGTTCCGAAGTCTTTGACTGGATTAAGGACGGCAAAGTTAAGTTTGGCGACTTCACAGTGTTTCCTCTGTCGGATGGAAGGAAAGCTTATGAGTTGTTGGAAAGTGGAAAGTCCACAGGGAAAATATTGATGAAGCCGTAAAGTTCGCATTCATTCTTTCCCACGACTGCCCGACCTCTTCGAAGAATAATTCCATCTATTTTGTAACATAGTAAGAGCCAAATGGTACCATGCGAAAATTCTGCTGAAGAGGTTTCAACTGATTCGCAAGTTACACAGTACAAGTTGTAAACTGGCTTAATACGTGGGCGAAACGACTTTTATGTGGGCGAACAGGACGTTAGCGAGACGATTCGTCGGCGAAACGACCGTAAGCCTATAATCAAACTCTGTCACGAGCTCAAAGAGAATAAATGAAGCAAGAAATATGTAGATTTCGATACCAGTAGTGAGAGAAGCTTTGAAAAAGTTATAGTTAGTTGGCAGTATAGTCAATAATTTCATAGCCAGCGAATACAGCCGCCCCTCATTGCTTCCCATCGCCAGGGCTATTCGCGAAAGATGAGAACTCGAAACGTTGCGGGAAGCCATGACAGAGAAGCGGCTGTATTCGCGGGCTAATAAAGTAGTAATGTCAGATCTTGATAAAATAAGGAAATAATTTGCTTCCTTTTGGCAAGATCGGGAGTCCATTCCTCCCGCTAAAAATATATTTTGAAGGCACTTTAGCAGAGCCTCCGCGCGCCTGAAGCGCGCGTAGCGGAGCCCCATAGCTTAGAGAAAATGGGAAATGGGGAATCCAAGACATGTAGCTTGCGTTTGTCTTGGTAAAACGTTAGCCAGTTCGCCTAGAGGCAGCCAATGGAGTTTTCTCTAATGTTAAAAAAGATATTGAAATTCCTTTTGTTTGACTGACTAAAACAGAATTAACTTTGAAAAATATAGTTTTAAGGATGTGCTTTTAGCTTGGTCACGCTTTTTAAAAAATTCACACCAAGAGCCAATACTTGTTTACACATTACTGTTCCATTCTGGGCCCAATAGAAGAAAACATAATAAACTTATGGTGAATACAAAAGTCAGTCAGATTTTCCTTTTAGGTCTCTTCTAAGTTTCGCAGTTAATTAGGGAGCTTTAGTAACGTCGACGGCGACAGCAACAAGATCGTGAAAAAGCAATAGGTTTGTTAATCAAAACAACAATTTTGCACGTGCATCACCCTTTTCTGTACATTTCTTCGTCATCACTGCATGTGTTAAGGAAGCGATGGAATACAAACTTGAACACAACTTTAATCCGCTCGATTTACAATACACCGATTTACAACAGGTTAATTTACTGCCCGGGAACCCGACTTACAACAAATCTACGAGCGACTAGCAAGGAAGACACGTGACGTGTTATCTACATAATTTATTCTACTCTCACAGGTCCAGTCTCACGGGGCTTTTAATGACCCGAGTACGAGTACGACGATGGGCCGTAACAGCATGACTTCGACGTCAAAATGCCTGATTGCATGTTTTATGGAGGACGTAAACAAGCGACGCCGAAGTTTTCTATCTCTTTCTAAATTTGAGTGCGGTTCCCTAAGGAATCAATTCCTGGAAAATTCGCCTACATTTGACATTTTCGCTAATTGGCATAAACGCGACAAAGTTTGACGAAATGCGAATTCATTTTAAAAGTGACGTTTTCGCTCCCGTCGCCGTCGTCGATGCCAAAGCTCCATTTTGACTCTAGAAATTGTAACAACAACAACAACAATTTATTGTACCCAAAGCAGAATATTATAGTTATTTACAAGATGTTAAATTAATCAATTAACTTAAAAGGGGTACTGACTTCCTGAAATGACTAATAAGTTAAAAATGCCAAGAAGCCAGATTCAGTAAGATAATTTAATTAAGTTTATTGTGCGGGTTACAGTATGGCAGCTGATAAACATCCTACTTTTCCAAGTAACTCAGGTACATAAACAGAAATTGGCTTACGATAAGAGCCTCAGTTGGAAGATACTAAGACCGTAGTTAAGTTGTGATACGGAAATAACCATAGTTAGGCATGGTCTGAAAATTAAAAAAAAATTTAATTGATTATACGCGATTTTTATCTTCGGATCTCCTGTGGCGGGTTGAAAAGTATGTTTTTCCCATGTTTCCATCATCACACTTGGAGCATAAAGAAAAAGAAGAAAACACCTTTAACTATCTGTGATGAAGTACGGGCTGATAGCTTTTCTAACCGTAACCACTCTGGAGCTAACTAAAGGGAAGACAAATTCCCTTGCTATTACACGGTCAGGAAAGAAAGACCACGACACCAGGTACCAATATTTAATTTATGCTTAACTGATAACTTTTAACCGTTTTAGTTCGTTTATCTGATGCAAGTTTTATCTGCCAGACAAACTCTTTATTCAAACTCTTACATTACCTTTGATTGACCTTTGGTATCACATTTTCCAGCTATTTATCAATCTAAGTACCAACTCCAGCCAGCAAATGGAAGATGCACCCAAGTAACTTTCTCTGTCAATAAATTTACGTTTGTTTTTTCGGTTCCTTCAACAGCATGTTATATGTGGTTCAATTATTTTATTCTCGGTTTACATTTTATTTTGTTATACTTTTGGGTATGGAAATGTAAGATAATGAGTTTGAAACAAAGGAAAATCAAATTTAAACCACAGATAGAGTCGAACCACAATAAAAAGTTTGAAGCAAATCTGCGAAAGCAGTAGTGTTAACCAATGAGGTCACAGGCATCCCAGGCTTTCCGCATCCTCTTCAACGCCAAATTATGATGATTTGTATGGGAATTTATCGTTACTTCGATGACAACAGTTAAAATTCACATTAATGGTCAATCTCTTCATGAGATATGTAAATTTTGATGTATGTTTATGTGCATTTTAACCGTTTCAAAGTCCAATGTGAGCGTGGCTGTCCTGTGACTACATTCCCCATACTAAAGAGACTGGACACTAATGCAAGTCGTGCTTAAAAAAAACATGGAGGCTTTAGCCAAGGCGGGTCCTCTATGTCTGTAAAGGGGAGTGAACTTGCTGGGTGCTGCTTTAGGAAACCCTTTTTATCTTAAAGGAAGCGTCGAAGTTGTGTGCAGAAGTATCTCAATGAAAGCTCTAGTAGTGGAGGAGTTTGGCGACTCTTCAAAGCTGAAGTATTCAGAGACGACAAAACCAGACCCCGCGGAAGGCGAGGTATTAAGCTTATTTAAATAATTCATAAGATAAAAATGAATTGAATAAATAAATTCACAGCAAGAATGGAGCGTGTTATGGCGAAATATGACATAATACGCAGGATTCTCAGTAAGTTTTCAAGTAGACAAGTACTGGTAGGATGTAAAATTAGGCGGCTTGGCAGTCAAGTACTCAGTAGGCTGTGTAGGCAATTTGAGGGTTTCACTCCGATCCCTCACTTTACCCATTTGCCCCCAAAAGTAGATGGCCCAGACCTGAAAGTAGTCGGTTAGTATTTAATGAGAACCCTGAGTATGGCCCACAGAGCCGAACAAACTCAGCAAGTGTTGACTGAGATCAAACCCTTTCTTTTAATTTGACCACAGTTTACCCTAGTCTCCTTCGCAGCCGTTATTTGGGTCGTCACGCAACGCTCCTCCCCAGTGGGGACCCTAATAACGGCTGCGAAGGAGACTAAGGTTACCCAGGCTCTGTGATAGTACCATAGTACGGTTCCAGAAAATTAAGAAAAAAGAAACATATACCAGCTGATGGCTAAATTTTGTATTTTTTCAACTCTTGGAGTACTACAAAGTTTCCCTTTTTTTTTTCTCTACCGTTGTGGTCAATTAAGCTTTGAAAGGTGGAGTTTTCCAAGAGCTAAAAAGTTACGTACATGTTTCTTTTTTTTTCTCATTTTGGCGTGTGCACTGGTTTTGCTTGGGTGACTCACGATTGGCTCAAGTGAACAATAGCCCTTGAGCAAATGTATTTCCAGCGGGAGAGGCTAACTTTGGGCAAGCTATGTATCGGTCTCTAGAAAGGTCATCCTAGGACACCCGGGATGGATTTGATTTGTACAGAGCCCAGGCCTCATTTGTTTGGCTGTGCATTAAGCTGGCCCGGCCACTTAAGGGTGTCAACTTCAGGCTCTTTTGGATTATATCACTCCACGATAATGTTGAAGAGTGAGAGCACTTGGAATCAGAAATGTACGGAATGTTGTGAGCCCGCAATATGCCTTTTTAGCAAAAGGGATATTTCAATCCACAATATACAACGTTACTTTTGGAAAATCCAAGACGGCGGATGTCGACATGTTCACTTTGTAGATTTGCTACAAACCTTAGTTGTTCATACCATTTCATCTACCTTCAAGGTTTATTTAATCGCACAAATACATAAAAGTAGAATGTATGGAACCTGAAGAGTTCTGGTCGCCAACGTGGCAACTAACTTTTGAATCTAGGTCACCAGCATGATAAACTTAGGCGCATTGGCGACTGTATCAGGCGCAATTTCGTGCCCTACCCTTGACGCTTTGCATCTTGGTATATATATCCACCACTACTCACTTCCCCTTCGGAGGATAGTTGTATAGTATATTATTTCTACCATCCTAGCATGTTTATTTACCGTTGGAGTTCAAATTTTGTGGAAAAATCTGTGATGGAAAGGGAGCATAGTGGCCGAGATGCCATCTTGTGCCTCTCCTACCTTGTGTATTATATTGTATGGAGGGTGAATTTGAGCATTATCACAAAAATTCATTTGAACATTAAGGACAACAACAACTAACTGCAGAATAAGTTTCATTGACCTTTATTTAGTATTTCCTACAAATTTGTGCATGGTGCTTAGTCACAGAGCCTGGATTACCTGTGATTTGACAGCAGTATTGTTTTCCTTTTTCTAGGTTTTGGTGAAAAATCAAATATGTGGCCTGAACTACCTTGATATCATTATAACAAAGGGGTTGCAATTGTCATTAGAGAGTTTGGGATCTACATTTCCTGTCACCATGGGAGTAGAGGCTGCTGGAATAGTGGAAAAGATTGGTGATAAAGTTGATGGTGTAGCTGTTGGAGACAGAGTAGGATATGTAGTTATTGGATCCGGTGAGTGTTTTATGTTTACACTTGTACATAGAACTACGCCTTCATTGGATCTGGTGCGGTACTGTACATAAAATTGTCTTATTACTATAGTGGTAACTTCAAGGAAACCTGGAAGGTAATAAATAGTTCCCAGGGATGCAAACCTAAAGCGACAGTTATAAATGAACTTATTTATAAGGGCAAAGATTTTGCACTGAAGCAAGATATAGCTGAGCAAATTAATAATCACTTTTGTTCGGTAGGTTGTAAACTGGCATCTGGTATTCTGGATACTGTCTGTCAACCAGAGGACCGATTCAAATTTTTATTTTCGCCCTGCAAATGTAGGATACATTCATAACCTTATCTCTAATCTTAAATCCTCAGAAAGTTGTGGGCTGGATAATATTTCTAGTCGCCTCTTAAAGCCTTGTAGTCTCTATATAATCTCAAACTCTATATGTGATATTTATAAATCACATGCTGGAGACTGGAATATTTCCTGATGATTGGAAAAAGGCAAAAGTAAATCATATTTTAAAGTCTGATGACAGAAATATTCCGAGCAACTATCGACCGATTTCTGTTCTACCTGCCATATTGAAAATTATAGAAAGGGCGCCATGCGCACTCAGCTGTTAGAGTATTTTCAAGCATGTTATCTTTTAACAGAGTCTCAGTCTGGCTTTAGACCTAATCATTCAACTTGTACAGCTTTCATAAGTACAGTATACCTTTGGCGTACCAACTTGGATGCTGGTAAACTTAATGGTAGTGTATTTATTACTTTGGTGGAGGGCAAAGTAAAGGATTCCTGACGCTCAGGAATGTCCCAAAGTTGATTGTTTTGGGACAAGATTGGGTCTGGGGTTTCATAGAACGTCTGAAGTTCATAACTATAATTTGAGGGGTTCCAACTATGATCTCCAATTACCACTTCCTGAAACAAATTTTCTTGAGCGCTCATTCTCTAATCAGGGTGCAATGGCTTGGAACCAACTTTCAAAAACACGTGGGATAGAAGATCTTACTAGCATTAAACTTGCAATATCCTGAGATATAACTTTTTATTCTTATTTTTATTTTGTATGACCTATTTCTTCTTATTATATTGTATCTAAATAAATCTTGCTTACATAAAACTAGATAGTTATGTTTATTTGAGTCGATAGGAACAGATATAAAATTGCAAAAATTGATTTGATTTGATTTAACTCTGGGTTCCTAGTCATGTAGTGTCCCCTGTGGGCCGGTGGTGAGCATTGGGTGACTCTGGCCTGAGCCGCCGTAAAAAGGGGACTACTAACCTTGTTTGACTCCAAAGGTATCTTCATACCCTCCCCAACCCCAACACACAGGGTATGGTGTTTTGGAAACAGAACACTGCCACCATTCTACACCAATGCGTTCAGAGGCCAAATCTTTGACAAAAAGATCTGGATCAATCAGTAAAAATCAGAATTGATGTTCTAAATAACAGCAAGCATATCCACACAGTAAAGAGAGAAAGAAAATCCAAAGTAAAACCAAAAATTTATTTATCTTATTTGTGCCCAACATTTTTGGTTTGGAAGACAAACCTTTGGCATGGGGGCTAAAAACATTACAAAGTGTTTACTTTAGGAAACAAGATATATTAAGAAAATGTGATAAATATGATTCATAACTTTTATCTCAAAGAATTCAAGCTCACACCACTAAGGTAACTGCAGTACTAAAGAACTATGGAATTTTAATAGGAAAAAGAAGTGCTTGTAATAATTTGCGTATTATTTTTTTCCTGAACAGGAGCTCATGCTGACTACTCCAAAGTTCCTGCTTCGAGCCTGATAAAAATTCCACCTGAGATCAGTTTTGAACAGGCAGCTACAGCTATAGTACAAGGGATGACTGCACACTACCTTGTGCATTCAACAGGACGAGTGAAGCCTGGAGACAAGGTCCTGGTGCACACAGCTGCAGGGGGTACTGGGTCTCTGGTGTGCCAAATGGCCAAAAATGCTGGTAATAATAATAATAATAATAATAACAACAAATAATGGTGTAATATGGCCATTTAATCTACTTATAATACTTGAAAATTCCAATTGACACTTTCTGCTGAAAAAATATTCTATCAATTTATAAAAATGCCTAAAAAGCTCAAACCCACTCATATGCTGTACATTTTTATGTCATTTCAAGGTGATTTGGCTTGTGAGGGTCATTAATGTGATTGACTGCGTAAAACATTCCTAACGAAAGATGCCTGGAAAATAAGAACATGTTTGTTGCAAATGAATTTTAATGAAAAAGTTGCCTCACTCCTCATTAGTGGTACATCTTTTTAAAGAATTTCAACATATGACATTTGAGCATTTTCAGGTAGTAGAATACCAGGAGAAGGACCGGCAAGAATAGGGAGAAAGCAAAGAAAGCTTTAAAAAAGGCCTGCCACTTCCAAGTTCCAGAAACCCTCTCTTTCAAAATGAGGCCAAGTGCACAACCTTATTATGAAAATGAGTTTTATTTGCATGAGAAGGAAAAATCATTGCCATATCAAAATGCGTAAGCAATTCTTGGATGTTTGTAAAACACGGTAAAAGGCAACTCTAAATTGGCCATCTTAGTCTGGTTGAATGAAGCAACTTGCGGTGAAACTGGTGAATGGCTGTGTAAAGCAATAGTCCACTTCTGAGTTCCAAAATCCCTCACTTGTCAACTTGATAAGCTCTAGAGGCCAATCGCAAAACCTTTCTTGTGGAAATGAGTTTTAACATTTGCTTCCCTGTTTAACAATATATTCGAATTCGCATATAGCCTGCTTATTCCTACAGGCGCCTTTGTGATTGGGACAACCAGTACAGAGGCTAAAGCAGCAAAGGTGAGGGAGTCTGGGGCCGATGAGGTCATCCTTTACTCACAAAAAGATTTTGTGGAAGAAGTGAACAGGATAACTGATGGAAAAGGAGTAAATGTGATTTACGATGGCGTCGGGAAAACAACTCTACATCGAGGTACAGTATTAAGTAACTCCTCTCTCCTCTGTACAGTCATCTTAAGACTTTACCTGCACTACTTTTGACCTGCTCCGAAGCTGACAATAGCCTTAGATAGGCAGGGTTACCGGTCCTTTCGATGCAAAGTCTTTTCGACACAAGTTTATTCAGTCGAGGTGTAAGTAGTTCCACGTACTGGGCTTAAAGAAGGACGAATATTCACCAAAAATGTTGTTCTTGTTCGCAAGAAAACTATACTTAAAGTGAACGAAATTTTTGTGTATTTTCACTGCTTGAGTTTGTATGGAAACGACCGGTTTCCTTAGAAAGATGTATTGGAGGCGTAGTTTCGGAAATGTTAAGGCTGGTTATTGAAACGTTTTTGTTTTTGTTTTTTGCTCCATTTGTTTTCGGTTTTAAAGTCGGTACCTCTAATGCATCTTCAAATGCGTTAATTTCATCAGAATACCACGAAACGCACAAAGTCAAATTGGTCGTAGATTTCTCTGTCTCGTATGAGGTAACTTACAGATTAGAGGGAGTGGATAAGTATTTTTTTCTGAGTTCATCGAGTCCATTTATGGGATAAGTACACACAACCTGAAAGCTGTAATGTCTAAGAAAATAATTTTTGTAAAAGCTTCCAGAGCAGGTTTTTTCTCTCTTTAGGGGCGAGCGAATGCATGCGCGAGACGAGCGCGGTATGCCATTCATCCCGCGCGGTGCGAGGTGCGACCAATTTTATAATATAATTGTTGAAAGGTATAGACTATACCGAGAGAGAAGGTCCAGGTACATTTGTATGGCAGATGAGAAGCGAACTGTAGAATTTGTATGATTACTCCCAATCTTTACAAAAAGATGCTCCTATTGGTCTTCAAAAAAAAAAAGGTTTAGAGGATAAAGCGGACTTTGCACTGGTGTATTTGTGGTGAACTTCATGCACAGCAAGTGTAGATTGCGCCAAAAAAGGAAAGTAGATGAATAGAACTTAACTCCTCCTCAGTTTCAAAGCTAAAGCGTCACTATAATGAATATTATATTATTGTTTTGAAAGGCTTTTTGTGTTGACGAAGGGTTTACCCTATAGGAAGATCATTGCTCAGGGCGGGACTAGCCCGGTATCCGCTCAGATGCGGATCCACACCGGTTTCCAACTTTTAAAGGAAATCGGTCAGATTTGTCTTAATAAACTATGTTTTGATAGTAAAAAATACTTTCCAAGTTGAAATGTAGCCAATATCCTGTCTGAATGACTCGGAAACCCAGGAAAGAGGACTTTAGGGAGTTAAATCAAAAAATTCCCCGGGGGAGCATGTCCCCGGACTCCCCTAGAAACTTGCGCTTTCGGCGCTCGGTTTGGGAAATCGGTCATTAGTTATCCTAGATCCGCGCCTGCCGCTCCAGTGTCCTGAACAGTGGATCACCTTTTTCAGCCCCACAAATTATGATGCCTGATACAAAAATGTTGCAGGTTTCAATTGCTTGGCTGTCCAAGGAATCATGGTATCCTATGGCTTGATATCGGGACCTGCTGAGCCTGTGGAGATCAGCACCCTCGCAAAAGGATCTTTCTCCTTATGCCGACCACACTTGACCCATTATATTGCCACAGACGAAGATTTGAAATGGCGAAGTTCCGAAGTCTTTGACTGGATTAAGGAAGGCAAAGTTAAGATTGGCGACTTCACAGTGTTTCCTCTGTCGGATGGAAGGAAAGCTTATGAGTTGATGGAAAGTGGAAAGTCCACAGGGAAAATATTGATGAGGCCGTAACGTGCGCACTGTTTTACTTCCAAGATCTGCAACGAACCAAAACAATGTGTGTTCGAAGCTATAATCTGTATAATCAGGGAGCTTTAGCATCATCGACGGCGACGTCGACAGCCGTTAAAACGTCGCTTTTGAAATTAATTCACGTTTTTTAGAACCTTTGTCACGTTTGATGCAACTTGGTTAAATGTTAAAAGCCGAGTAGGTGAATTCCTTGGAGTTGAACTATTCTTGGAGAGCATACAGGTGCTGCACGTACAAAATTGTTCTTTCGTTTGACATTGCTCAGGGACACCCAACGACGGTTTCCTCCTGTACATTGAAAGCACTTTTTAGGCTATCCAGAGTAATTTTAGATCTCTAGAAGTGCATTTTAAACAGCGCTATAACATTTGTATCTGTTCGGTCATCCTAGGAAACTTGAGTCTTTTCGAAATTATTAGGGCTTCAGTACTACTTTCCCGAAAAATTTAGATGCAATTTAACGTTTTACGAAAGTGAGAATTTTTCGAATTCCTCTCTCCATAGCATTTTTTAATCCGAAAATTTTAGGTTTCCTTTTTACTACGAGAAATAGCTAAACCTGGGGATCGAAATGTGAAAAGTTATACTTAAAAAAATCGTAGGGAATTTATTCGCCAGGCTTCGAAAATTAAACATGAATGGAACGGTCATCTAGACATTTTTAGCCTTCCTCAAGCTATAGAAAAATCTAGGCAATTTTTGCTTCTCCGAACAGATATTTTACAGAAAACAGTCTTTGGGTGTGCCCCTGATTGCTTATCAAACCTATTGGTTTTTCCGAAGTTGATGTTGCCGTCGCTGTCGTATTTCGGGTCCGCGGATAGTGAGACAAGCTTTGAAAATGCTTGCGCAGATGGTTAATTCAATGGTTAATAATGTCAGATCTAGAGAAAATAAGGAAACAACTTGTTTTCTGCCCATTACTCCTGATTAGATAAATTTTGTAGGCATTTTATAGAAGATGTTAGACTGTTCAGTACAGCAAATTTTAAGAACTCTTTATGTACTTCCAGCCGAGGGTTTTTTATCATAGATAGTAGGTGGCAATATGCATGCCATCGATACCGATGATTTTCGGGAAGAAAAAAACCAAACGAAACGAAACCAATGTTCCCCTTAACATCACTTTTGATGAACAAATACGCAATCACTACGAATTAACTATTTAACAGACATCATATTCAATTCATTTTATTTCACTCCAATAGTGGACTCCTTAAACCTCTCTTACACTGATGCTTTATGTGATAAATAGTATACCTTTATGGGGACAGAAATGTGACCTTAACTACAGTAACAGTTTCCAACGTAATGTAACTTATACTGTACATTGTAACAGGTACGTTTTATCAGCTGTAAACTTTCATAACCGTCACACTGACGATGACGGATGTACCGTCGAAACATGTTAAAATTCAAAAAGTCGCACCAGTTTCGAAAATTTCTGCGGTTTTGCTGCTTTCTCGGCCATTTAGTAACAGTTTCGCTTTTAACTGCTTCAACAATTATTCTACCTCTGGATCACCTGAAGCTCTGTCACTTTTGAAGGAAAGTGTTACCACCTCATATTCATTCACCAGGAAGTCAGTTTTAAATTCTCCGTGTCTGCTGAATAACTTGTTAAACACGAACGTGACGCGTATCTGCATGGCTAAATACTGTACTTCATTTGGTATTAAAACGGGAAGTGTAAAATTGCTGAAGTTTTCGCCTGATGTGCCTGATAAGCATCCTCCTCTCATCAATAACTCAGGAACACAAACAAGAGTTCGTTTACAAAGGCCTTTTCCCCGAAAAGGTGGAAATTGGAAAACCGTCATGGCGTTGTAATGCGGAAATAACCGAGCCGACAATAATAGTCAGGAATGGTCTGCAAGTGTAAATAGTTATAAGCGATTGTTTTAAATTTGGATCTCACGTTGCGCTTTCACGAGTTTGCTTTTTTACTTTTCACCACCACAAAGTGAGTTAAAAAGAAATGAAAAACTCTTTCAAGAAGTTTGCGGTGGATACAATGAATAGAACACATGGTAACTACTCTGGGACTTCTAACCATTTTTGCAGAATCAAACTGATTGTTTCCAGTTATCCTGCTATTCCTGATAATTCGTGCTACAAACTCAAAATTTCTACAGTAGCGGACAGTCTGTCAAAAGCTTAACCAGATCTCAAAAAATTACTTTTTGTCCTATGAGGAAATCATGACCATCTATTTTCTTGGTAGCTAACCTGCAAACAAAGGGAAGAAAGACCTCCTGATCGCACGTTACTTGGAAGCGGAAGCAAAGAGCGGTTCATAGTGTCTAAACAGAAGTCCAGCTATGCTAAAGAATATTTCCTACAGGGCTTAATATAATTCACGATCATTGCAATTTATTTATAAATATTATAGTATTATAAGTAACAAGACATGCGCACGTTTTGAGCAGGAGTGGCTGTAAACTGTAACTAGTAAAGTGGTTATTATTCATCGCGCTACGTAAACTCGTCTATACAATTCTTTTCGCTTGTGAAAAGTGGGAAATTCAGGGCTCGAGCCCCTGCTAAAAGTAGTCTGGGTGTGACAAAGTGCTGTAGTGATTAAAACCGCGATAAGGCGTTGTCATAATGAATGTAAGGCTTTTTTTTTCCTCTTTTGCTTTCACAACCTTCACGGTTAAAAATTTTCGTTTTCCGTCCCGTCCTGCCTTAAGCTGACCCGAAATTTACAATTGCCACCCCCCAGTGGGTTCCCCGTGGAAGAAATCGCCTACGTGAGCAAAGCCGGTCCGGGGGGATTCTCGTATGAAAATAAGAATTTGACTCTCAAAGGAGACCAATCTGGGTGTGGCTGAGACCCCCTGAAGGAGACTTTATTCCAACCCAGTATATTGGCATTCGTAGTTAAAATGAGTTAGATATTCTTTTCGCACACTTCCCTAAATGATACCTTCAAGGGTAAAAATATTAACTTCCCGTCTGGAAGACCTAAACTGAGACCAACCTTCCTCATCGTTTTTTTACGGGATCAACCCCTCTTCCCCCCGGGAAAGCCTGTGAGGTTGAGATTCGGCGAGAAAGGTTAGCTGTTCCCCGCGCTCCTCGCCATTTTGCCACTCGCGGATTCGCCGCTTGCTCGCGCGTTCTCGCGAGACTCAGTTCGCTCGCCCAAAAAAGGAGAGCTTGCTCGCAGGCTACGCGCCATTTCGCCCTAGCATAGTCAGGGAACTACAAGCCGAAAAACATGCAAGAGTAAAATTTAAACGAATTTAAAGGCAAAATTGAAGAAGATTGAAAACAATTCGTGATGAATCGAAATGGGAGCGTCTTTGTCCTCAAAGGTAAACAAAAGGATTTTGTCAGGGGGTTTATAAATTCCAGGAATTATTTGGGCACATGATCAGAAACCGTGTCATAAACGTGCTTCCCTGCATTCAAGATTGTTTTCTTTTCATTCCTCTCACGTACGCAGTAATAAATAGGCCACTTTCATACTATCAAAATTCATCATGCTGGGGGACTCAAGGAAGTAGCGGCATCGAGATTCGAGGATGGATAATTCATTTCTTTTGTAAAGTTTCCCCTAGCCTGGGAACCAAGTTGAAACTAGTGGCCTTTTTTGATACCTGACTCTAGCTTGCCAAGATGCAAATAAACCACTCAAAAGATTCGTTTAATAACACTTACGGTATTCATTTCTGACACCCGCTCTCGGTACGATATCTAATTCGAGGGTGGATAAGGGGTGGGCAAGGGGCGGGTTTAATTTTTCGTATTTTTTTTGGGATCGTTGTTTTTTTAAAGTTGTTTTTTAAGTCTCTCAAGTAGTGGCAAAATGGCAAGTATTTTCACCATAGCATTGGCTTGCGTCAGTAATTGAAGCCACCTTTCTACCGAACTAAACTTGGGTACCCAGTTTGAGCTGGAACGGGTCATTTGACAATATTGAGCGGAAAATTAAATTTCCCGAAAAGAGGGGCGCAGCGACAGTCTCAGCTACCAAGAAATATACCGCTCGCCCTGTTGTACTCGATTCTTGAGAAAATGATCGTCATCATTATATTTTTACTTTTCGCGCCTGAATGAACAACAGCTGTTCAACCCTGATCACTGAAAACGATGATCAACCAATCATGAGCGTCAGTGTGGACTTTTAACCAATCAGAGCAAGGGTCGCAACAAAACGCGGAATGAACAAAATAAAAAAACCTCAGCTACATCACGCATGGCACATTTTACGTGATTCGCTGTAGGAAGGGTCTCTACGATCTCCAGATAAGACAGATAGTTTTCCAGCAATTTGAAGATGTCTGCGAACAACAAGACGGTAGTCTTAGCATATAGTGGAGGTCTTGATACGTCTTGTATCCTGGTTTGGCTCAAAGAACAGGGGTACGATGTTATTGCGTTCATGGTGAGTCGCGTTCGATTTCGATTTCGTTATCAAGCTCAAGAATTTACAAACATATATCTTTTCCGGAGCTGGGAGGGTTAATTATTATTTGGCTGAATATGATTTGAGTTCTTTCGAAAGTATTAATTTGTTTTGGGAACCCTTAGTGAGTCAGTATATTGTAAGGTTTATATTCATTCGGTCCGAACTCGATCGATCACGTGTAAGTTTTAGATCTATGCACACTGTATACATGTATATGCACGATGCATAATTTTTTCCGTCTTCAGAAATCTGTTTGCCCCAAAACTGCAAAAGCCCTTAATAACAGCCTGTGTAACTTTTAGAGTCGGTTAAGTTACAGGCTGTGAGTGTGATAGTATATTTTTTTTGAAAGTGTACGTCCTTGCAAATTGATAATTGATTATTTTAGGCAGATGTGGGACAAGATGAAGACTTCGAAGAAGCTCGAGAAAAAGCGTCAAAGCTGGGAGCGACAAAGGTGCGATCGAAGAATTTAAGTTAATGAATAGATACAATCTTATAAAATGCCACGTAATAGTTTACAATCATGTTAACATATATTGGTTCAATGTACTTTTAAAGCTTACTATTTAAGCTTACGTTAATTCTATTTTTGTTGAGCCTTTAATTTCACAAGAAACTATAAAACTTAGCTGATTTTGTCATTTTTGATCGCGATGGTTACGATAATTATAAGACTCAATGATGGCATCGCAGACAGCTCGGATTTACATAAAGGTTTTCCCTTTCAGTTTAAAATTAAACAAAGGATGTTGATCTTGATTAACCATGTGCCACTAGTAAGTGCCTGCAGCACACCAGCTTCCGCGTTATATAAACATATTTGTTGCTACGGTGAAGGATTTTTTTTTACACACTTTTGAAGTATGTTAGAGGTTAATTGGACTTGAAGTGATTCATGTATGCCCCACTGTGTTATTTACAGCCAGAGAATACAAAATTAATATACATGTACCACCCACCAAAAATAGATATAGAGTGGCCGTAATATTGTTTTCTTTTTCAGTAATTTTATTATTTTATAGTATAGCTTCTTTTGTTTAATTATATTAGTTAACACCAATTTTAAAGACAATGGAGTATGGATCACTTAGAATTTTTGCTTGCCTTTTACTACACATTGTGCTTTGGCAAAGAAGGTTTAGGAATGAGTTTAGAAAATAAATAGCTTTTGAAGAAAACAAGGGATCATTGAGGCACCTGTTATTGGTCAGGGTTACAAAGGGGTTTTCCGTGATGCGTGAGGGGGCCTAAATTATCAGTGTGATGATTTCCCCCAGCTACTATGAGTGTGGCCCCCGCCTACGTATATAGTGGAAAATGGAAGAAAAATATAACCAAAAGAAATCCCTTACCATTTGATTCCCCGCCTGTAGTGTCAGGTCTCAAGGGACTTAATGTAGGATAATTAGATGCGAAATGAGCGTTAACACTCGAGGCAAAAAGGGACTCTATTATTTTGCATATAAGACAGTGGTGAATGGACTAGTGGGAAGACACTACACCTCTATAGCTAGTAGCTATATATAGGAGGACACTACACCCCCTACTTGTTGAATTTACTCGGCAACTTGAAATCTTAGTGACAACCCTGTTATTGGCATTTTATTCAGTTTTTTTGGTTTGCATCTTATTCTTCATGGGTCACAATTTTGTCCCTGTCGATAGAAGTGAAAAGAAAAAAAAAAGAACTTGGCCATTAATAGATTTTGTCAGCTAAGCTTTAGTTCATTTTTTCCAGGTATATATTGAAGATCTGAGAGAGGAATTTGTCAAAGAGTTCATTTTTCCTGCTGTGAAAGCAAATGCTATCTATGAAGATCGCTATTTAATGGGGACAGGTAACACAGTTTTAGTATTAATTTATTGTTATCCTCAAGATTCATTTTTTATATTTTGATCAAACAGCGGCTGCGAAACAATACCAGTAATATTTCGAGCATGAAACTACTAATATAGCTTTCTTGGGTAACGGCTGCCCCTGAAAGAGGGTGGGGGACATCTTTTAATCATTTTTTGTTATCAGAAGCTAAAAGTGTATACCCTTTTATATATGCTGTGTAAATTTTGGTTTATCTACAGCCATTGCCAGACCTTGTATAGCCCGTCGTCAAGTTCAGATAGCAATTAAAGAGGGTGCTGAATACGTCTCCCATGGGGCCACAGGAAAGGTATGATGCTGTTGTTGTTTGTCAGCTTGTACCAATGATTTTTCACAATACTACCAGGAAAAATGATTTTTAAGGCAGTTTTGTTTTCTTCAGGGTAATGACCAAGTACGCTTTGAGATGACATACTATGCACTCTATCCAGAAGTTAAGGTGGGTACTGCTTATTTGTAGAGTGTCTGGAATATAATGTCGCCAAAAATGTACTGTGATGCTCAAACTCATCAAAGTTTATAACCTTTTGTTTTGCACATAAAAGAAGACAAGATAATTACATCAATTACTTCTTTTATTTTATCCTTTGTATTAATAACAGGTTATCACACCATGGAGATTGCCAGAGTTTTACAACAGATTTAAAGGAAGAGTTGACCTGTTTGCTTATGCAGAGGTAAATGATCTTCTTGTCTAGTCTGTTGCAGTGTTCATGATTATACTAAGTTGTATTTATGATAGTTTCAATATTATTGAATCTTTTCCTGAGTTGGGGGAGGGATGCAGGAGGCTCCACCCCAGGGTCCAACCCCTTACCCTTTTTAGTTTTATATACCATTAAAGACAGAAAAGGTACCCCTTTCATATACCTTCAATTGACAATCAATAGTACCTCTTTCACATACCTAGATCTTTGCATTCCTTCTAACTGCTGTAAATGCGCTTTGATCATGAAGAAATCACAAAACCGGAACATTTTCTCAACTTTTTCACAGTCTTGAAATAATAATGATAATGATAATAATAATAATAATAATAATAATAATAATAGTAATAATTGGGAGGTAGCACATCCACAAAGTAGTTCTTCATCTACCCAATTCCTGATCGAATTGGAATTTGCAAATGTGGGTTTTTGAGGAGAGGGGAAAACTGGAGTACCCGTAGAAAAACCTCTCGGAGCAAGGGAGAGAACCAACAACAAACTCAACCCACATATGGTGTTGACCCCGGAATTTGAACCTAGGAAGTGACAGATTTCCTTGCCTGAAAAAGGTACCTCTTTTGGGCGGAGCCTCCCCAAGTAGGCCATGAAAGGGAGTTTACCCCCAAACTCCCTGCCCCTACCCCCCCAAACACCACCACCAGTGGAATCTTTTCACTCCCAGTCAAATCAGTGCATAACAAAATGTTAAGGTGCTTTATAACCAAAATTGCATTATTTTCTTATTTTTTATTTTTCATTGATCAGCAAAATGGAATCCCACTTCCAGTGACTCCTAAGAAGCCATGGAGTATTGATGCCAATTTAATGCATATCAGGTGTGGTGATTTGACCCTTGCCCCAATATCCACATACAAATTCTCCAAACTGAACATTATCTCTCAATATTTCTTATAGAACAGTACATTTGCTTAATGACGTCATTTTACTACAACTACCAGAATGCTTCAGTTTGTTCTTTCCTTGTGCAAATCAGGGCTATTGTTTTTTAATTCTCCATGGGATTGACAAATTCAAATAAGAAAGCAAAAAGGAACTGAATTCTGACTGATAGTTGTAGTCAAATGTTGTCATCCTTGTGGAGAGAATTTGTTAAAAGATCAAAGCACTAGCTTTCACTTCATCCTAATAATTCTTATAATCGTTTCTTTTGAGTATGTATTGATAATTTCAGGAGAAAATTGATGTTGGTCACTCTCGGGACTTAAAGGGTAAAAGTAGCATTTTTAAAGTTTTAAGTAACAGTGTAGTGCTGCAGTCAGATTCATCAATAATATTTTCTCCTCCATCAAACCAACTTAAGGCAGTGTACCTATTAAAATTAAGGTCAAATCTGATAGTCTTTTAAACTCTATAAATAATTAATTAAGTAATGTTGAATAGTGGTGTAACGATTAATCGAATTCTCGATTAATCGCAATTATGACTGTTCAGTAAGATTCACGACTCTTTGCTTCCACCTTTGGATTTTGCTTCAATTTTTGCACACCTTTTCCAGGGTGCCCTCAGTGAGTTATTATATTGTAAAATCAGAATCCAGAACTCTTTAAAATGTGCGTTTTTGATTGACGAGCAAAGACAATAGCAGTTCATGTGCCATTTTGTATTGCCTGGTAAAAATGCTGTCCTTCAATCACCCCTTGAGAATTAGGGAGATTGGGATAGGGTGGTGATGAAAAAATACAGAGGGGTTCAAGACCAAAAGGATACATGTATTGCTTGCAAGAAATTAATTTCCAGCTGGGTGACAATATTGAGAACTTTGCAAATGTCTGTGAGAACTGGCCATGGTATAAAGTACTGGTATAAGGATTTTTCATGGCTATTAAAGTGCCTTAATATTTTGATAAAAATAATTGGAATGAGTATTCAATCAATCATTGAACTGCACAGCAATCCTGATTTCCTTGTAGACACCTCTATTATACTCTGTCACCAGAAATTCTCTTGGTTCCAAACTAAAGACACCAAATTTCATGCAATAATCCCCACCTTTAAAATATAGTGAGACACCTCAGTCTGATATGTGGACACTGGTCTCTGACTCCCTTTTATGTATGTTTTAGGAGGTAAATGACTGTACAAGCTTTTGTTAAAAGAGTACGTTATAATTGTTTTTATTTCAGTTATGAATCTGGGATACTTGAAAATCCTAAGGTCAGTTCTAACTATTACGTGTTTACCTTATTTTCAAGGAAAAGTCTGATTGCAAAGTTGTAAGCTGAATTTGTTCAACTAGTTTACCCGTAGTTCAATACATAATGTAGTGATGTGAAGGCCCCCTCTGTCAATCTTTCAATAATTGCAGAAGGTTGGCGGATGGCAAAGAGGGGAAATGCTGTTGTTATGTGTCCATGCATGTTTAAGTGAAAACTGCAGCCCACTAGTTCTTGAAGCTAATAGCATGGAACATATCTCATTCTAAAATAGTCCAGTTTTGAATTTGTCGTGGCTGCTGAATAAAAGCACCGAAGACTCATTTGTACAGGGTTGGCCTAGACCTAAAGTAAAATATTTACAAATACCGGTGAGAAGGTGCCTGAATTTGAGTTTAAAACAATAGACACAGTTGTACACAGGTCTTCTCCTGACTGGAATTTGTGAATATATTTACCTTAGGTCGAGGCTATAAACCCTGTATAAATGAGTCTTCAGTGCTTCTATTCAGTGGCTGCAACGGATTCAAAACTGGGCTATTGTTGATCTACATTTATTTTATAACATTTATTACAGTGTACATGGGCTGCCTCATAATAATGGTCAGACCCATGGAAATAGGAATACACTGTCGGTTAAATAACAATGTTGATATATTTTGTGTTAATAACAGACCATGGCTCCAGATGACCTCTACTGCATGACCACTGATCCTAAATCGTCCCCTGATGAGGTAGATTTTTGTCATTAACTGTTATAAATATAAATGAATAATAAATAAATAAACAACGATGGCACATCCACTTAATGGCTCTCTGTGTACCATTCCTGGTTGAAATTGAAATTTGGAAATGTTGGTTTTTGAGGAAAGGGGAATACCGGAGCCCATAGCGAAAAAATCGCTAGGGGCAAGGGAGAGAGCTAAGAACATACTCAACCCACATATGTGCAGACAGTGCTGGGACTTGGTAGACTATTTGGGAGAAATGTTCTAGTAAAAATGATTAATTTTCTTACAGGTAAATGTATCTAAAAAAACAAAACAACAGTTTAGTCTACAGCATAGACCTTTAAAAGAATTAATAACTTTTTCATGTTAATGAAACATATTTCTTTTATCATTTTAACTTTAGCCAGAGCAACTCGAGATTGAATTCAAGAAAGGTGAGCATCAAAACTAAGTCTGATTCTAAATTGCCAACCATTTCAAAGTAACATTAGAGTACCGCTTCTAAAATTCGCTCTAAACAAGCACCCCATGGTGCACCCCACTTGTCAGAATTCAACTGCTTATCATGTGTTTTGGGTATACCGCCGCTTGGTTAGCTCAGTTGGGATAGCACTGGTCTGCTGAGCAGGAAGTCACAGGTTTTGCGTTTAAACCCTGGCTTTGTCGTCTTAAAATAACTAAAAAGAAAGTTCTGCATTTGACTTAGACTAGACTTTCTAGTCTTCTCAGATAAGGATGAAAAACCATAGGTCCCATACCCGTCTCACAGCACTTACACTTATCTGTTCTTGTGAGACGTAAAAGAACCCACACCACTGTTCAAAAACAGTAGGGGACATAGATCCCAGTGATGTGGCCAACCTTTCCTGGGCTGAGTGGGTTATCTGTTAGGAGATGTCTTAATCATGATAGGGATAACCTCAATATCCTCCTTCGGGTGTCATAATGGCTACGTGTAAACAGTGTACTATGTATGTAGTTTTAACATCACTTATATCCTGATTGGTGGTTTGATTTTTGTCTCAGGTGAGCCAATCAAAGTTCAAAATCTCAAAGATGGCACTGTTCGTGACAAGCCACTGGATATTTACCTTTATCTGAACAAGATGGGGTTAGTTTAATTTTATTTATTATTCTTTAAAGGAAAAAGATGCGTTCTCGCAAATTAAGACTAAATTAAAACAACTAAAAACGACAATGATTTTTTTGACATCGCAGAGGTTTCAGGTTGTTCTGGAGGCTAAAAATGGAAACGCTTTCAGTGGAGAAATTTCCTTGGAGAAAATGTATTTTAATCTCGTACACTAAAAAACGCAAGTTAGAGTTTTTTTTTTAATGACTTGTTACTTTTTTGCGTCCATTTTAGTGGTGCCCATGGTGTTGGAAGAATTGATATTGTGGAAAACAGATATGTTGGCATGAAATCCAGAGGTAAACTGATGAGTGGCCCAACACCTTCTTTCCCTTCTTGTTTCAGAATAGCTAAGAACGAATTATCGGTTCTTATTTTCTATTAGTGGCTTAGAAAATCTTCATTAGTCTCCCTCAATTACCCAATTTACACTTTTTCCTCCGCAGAGGCGTCTTTGTGTTGTAGGGAGGCTGGGGAAAGGGAAGAAAGAAGGCGCACGGGGATTCCGCGGGGACCGCCTTTTCCCTCTCCCCATCATCCCCAGCGCGCTTGCTATTTTTCGATTACTGTTATTTTTATTGGGATACCAAGCGAGAGCCTCCGCGGAGGAGAGAACAATTTACATAAGATGAAGGTGGAAAAACTACAAATTCACAATGAACGTTTCTCCTTGAGTTATTTGTCGCATTTAGTTGTTCGATGGAAAGGTTGGGCTCATTGACTTTATCGTCTCAGTTGTGACGTTTCAAGATGCTCTTGCGTAGAAAATTTAATCGTGTTACAATAACATTTACAAAGACGTACTTTGTTTGTTTTTTTTTCCACAGGGCACCCAGACTCACAACAGCCCACTGAAAGCCAAATTATAGAGATTTGTATGGGAATTTATCGTAAGATCGATAAAACGGTCAAAACGCACTAGTAGGTTCGTTTTATCGATCTTATGATAAATTCCCATACAAATCTTTATAATTTGGCTTCCAGTGGGCTGTTGTGAGTCTGGGCGCCCAGTGGTTTTTTTCTGCAGTACGCTAAGTCGATCTCAGAGTCCTAAAAAAAGACATCAGCTATAGTTACTACTGATCATTTCACGTTTCTGGGAAACTGCCCACGTACCCCTCCCCTAAGCTAACATTAACACTTCTCACTTAGGCAAAATGTTGGCCTAGGGATGGGTAGGTGGGCAGTTTCAAATTTGTCTGTATTTTTTAAGGAATCTACGAGTGCCCCGCGGGGACCATTTTGAGAGCTGCGCACCTTGACATTGAGACGTTCACCATGGACAGAGTAAGTGGTTAAATATTAGCGTTTAAATGTTTTGTCCAAACGTTAAACGAATGCTAATTTTGTCGAAAACCGGATACTTAAAGCGCGTGAACGTTATGTCTAAAACGCTGATTAATGGACACAGGTTTCTAGAAAACTGATGAGGTAAGGTTTAAACGCTTTTTGCTAATGATACGTTCTTTAAGTGAACGGGTGTTTTTTTCTTTTAATAGTCTTTTCTCCATCTGTGATAGTTCGTGGTTACAAACGTCGTGGAAAAACCATTTTCCCGCGAAATGTCCTCTGCGTTCCAATGCAATAGACTTCAAGTTTTTCTTCCCGCTGTGCTCGCGGCGTACGTTGCTTCTTTTACGCGGGAATTTGAGTAGCTACTCTGTGATTGGTTGTTTTATTACGGGACTCAAAAACTCGAGACAAACAACCCCGTAGTTCTCATGGCTGCTTATTTTGCCGTTACATTTTATGGCTTTTCCATTGTTGTATGCCGAGGATGTTATTTCTCGGGAGAAGCGGCCACAGTCGTAGTTTTATAGGGTCTTATCCCGCCGTAAAATGCCCAATGTAACGGCAGCCATTTGTTTGCTCATCTGTGACAGGAAGTGCGGAAAATCAAGCAGACTCTAGCCGGGAAGTTTGCTGATCAAGTGTACTGCGGATATTGGTACAGCCCTGAGGCAGACTATGTGCGATTCTGTTTGGAGAAAAGCCAGGAAAACGTGGAAGGAAAAGTCACCCTTAACCTTTTCAAAGGACACGTATGTTACTGTTGCAACTGTTTCACACCTTCTCCTCCCTTCCCAGATACTTTCGGGTTCTTGTTAAGTTCAAGGGAGTAATTTTTTTTTACTCAGCTTTCCCTTCCCCTTATTGAGAAAGGATATATCAGGAGTAGCAATGTTTCTCGCTCCCCATTTTCAGCCTTAACATTTCAAATCGTCACTGTTAAAACGACTGTACGATTGCTTATTTATCATTAGGTTATAAAGACAGTTTTTTCACTTTTATCGTGAACGTTAAAACTCTCCTTTTAAAAAAACGGTGTAATTAAATGGTGGGAAACACGTGACAGGTGGCTATCCAGCCTACCGTTTCAGTGTTTTGTTTGCAGTAAACGTCAATCTTTCTCCCAATTGCTTCCCCACACCCTACCCCTGCGTTCTCGCTCTCTCATACTGTTTGTAATAATAGTCATGCAAAACATCGAGATTGTTGCTGTGATCATTTGTCTTTCCTTCGCAGGTTTACATAAAAAGCCGTGAGTCGAAGGCCTCTCTTTACAATGAGGAATTAGTGAGGTATTCTTACAGCCTCTTCTTGTAGTTTCCTATATCATTGTAGAACGTACCAAAACGGTTGCCTAAGTCCCTGTACGGCGCCTTCTCGGTCAATGCATTTCGGTGATGTATGCGAGACGAACGGCCGGACCACGTGACCCGAAACGCATAGACCGCGGGGAATTATGTGGCCTAGAGCAACCAAAACGGTAAAACCTCAACACTAAATGAAGCAGTAACACAAAATTTACCTTTCGTTTCACTTGTCTTTATTTATTTTCAAACAGCATGGATACCCTTGTTGGCTACAACCCTCAAGATGCAGCTGGCTTCATAAAAATCAGTTCTCTGAGGTAACTAACATGTTTTCTTGCGACAGCTTGATCTCAATTTTTTTTGGGCTATACTTTCCCAAAATGATAATCAAACTCACAATTGCCACAGGGCGCTCAATTAATGTACTCAAAACTCCTGAACTTTACCCTGTGTCGTTAAGGTGCGTGAGCTTCTATATGCAGCCGTTGTTTGTGACGGCACGTAACGCTTCACTTCTTGAGACTGTAACATCAAAAGCGTCGTTTTGTGCCTCGTTAAAATTGAAATCTAATTTATGCACATTTTGAAAGAGAGAAAAGGAAACAATCCCCATTACACTGCCCCTTGTACCTTTAGGCCTCTAACTGAAAATGTGAACCTTTGTATCCTAGGTTACGGGAACACAGCCGTTTGAGGAAGGCGTTGGATAAAGCAAGTGAATAAATTTTGCTCAAAACATGACTCTATTCAATGTGTGAAGTTTGTGAGGTGAATACTTCTCGAGTTATTTTATGGACAAAAAACTTCTTTAATATTTTAAAGAAATCGAAGTTCTTTTAACGGAGTGTAGTGGTATTTGTGTAAACTGAATAAAGAAATATCGGGCATAATTCAAGGTTTGACTCATCTTTCTTCAGAAATGTAGATTCCTTGTAGCATTGAGAAGGAAATAACCGTTGTTTTAAGCTACGTGCAAACGGACGCAACATTGTTGAATGTTACATGTTGCGCCCGTTTGCACACCCTGTTGCATGTTGTTGGTAGTTGTTGAGCAAAGTTTGAAACCGGTCAAACTTTTAGCTACGTGCAAACGAACGCAACAATGTTGGGAGTTGTTGCCTAACAATGTTGCGTCCGTTTGCATGGGGCTTTAGTTTACAAGAAGAATTAACCCTTAAACTCCTAAATGTGTTCAATAACATTCGATCCAGTTTCCAACACAACCTAGCTCGAAAGGGCTAAAAGAACAAGCGATAACATACCCAAACCATGTCCATAGTGCAATTCAAAACAACACCGATCCAGTCTCTGTCACAAACTCAAGTAACCGACAATTTCCATTTCCATCTCACTCCCTCTCGTCCAAATTTTCCCCACATTGTCTGTTTAAACCGCAACAGAGCACTTCAAGAGACAATCGACTGCTGAAGGGTGTTTACTATTTGTCCAAACCGACTGGCCAGACCAGACCAGTCTGGTCGTCGGGAGAATTCTCATATAAGTACCATCCAGTAAAATCAGTTTATTGCATCGAAAGCTAAGGTGCTATGCCCGCAACTGTAAAATGGTCTATTTTGAGATTTTTTAAACTCTCAGCAGTGTGGTTTTATCGTGGTTTGAAAGACCGAGAAAATACTATATCCATCAATCTTATAGCAAGTCGCTGGACCGCGCTCGCCTTGCTATCCAAAAATTTTTTTCAATACGATAATAATTCAATTACAGTGGAACTTCGCTGACGCGAACTGTGAAGGGAAACGAAGACCAGTTTGAGTTAGCGGGGTTCGAGTTATCAGTTAACGTTTGTTAACGTACCAGCTTTTGCAAATTATTCTGTTATGCGGGCAAAGCGCAGTGAACGAGGTCAGCTTCCTCACAGTAAAACTGGTCCCTATTCGCTAAAGGCGAGGATCACACCGTACCTTTGGACATCTTTTTGATTTTATGTCGCCTTTTCCTTTGTTTTCACCACTTTGTTTTCGCTTGTAATGAATCTAAAAAGAAACCTTACGACGACAAAAGCAGACACCACAACTATAAATCTGAGTAAGAGGATATCCAACAGATGGAGCTGGTAGAACGGTAGATGCAGTCCTCTCGGTCTCAGATACTGCAAACCACCTTGAGCCCCCGTGTATTCCACCCAGTCAGCGGCTTCTTGGACAGGCGCACAAGGCAACTGTTTTATGGACTTGGAGACTCGCTTCGCAGACTCACGGTGACTAGGAAACAAAAGGTTTGAGGTTCAATTCCAGTGCCAACACTTAAATACCTTCCAAAAACAATCGTTAGGCGTGGAAACAACGTAATGCATGAATTTATAGATGCATGTGGATCTTTTCCCCTCACTGGAAGATTAGGGTCGCTAGGAATGGTTTTCCTGGCTTCCAACTGTGTTTCTTCTTCCAGGCTGCCAAGCAAAGTCTATAATGTCCCCACAAATCAAAACTGGGGAGCCAACACAAACCAGAGATAAAATTAATCTAGCTGCTTGTACCTGTAAACCAAAATAGTGGATTACACAATTAAAGAATAAAAAGTTGGCATAAAAGGCAAAAAATGAGAATGGTAAATTCAAACCAAATAATATTTGCATCGGTTTCCCTAGACACAAATACAAATAGAACTGAATCACATGTGTACATATCCTGCAAACAAATCAAATATGCAGTACAAACAAGAGCAACATGTGCCTACCACAACGAGGACCAAAGCCTCAAACTGAGGAACATAGCCTCAATAATATTACATAACAATGATGCGGAGGAAGCCTTAAGCTAAAATCCAAGGACAAAGTTTCAAAATAACTTATGAGGACAAAGCCTCAAAATAAATTATGAAGACAAAGCCCCAGTATAAAATAGGAGGATGAAGTTTCAATGTAAAATATGAGGACACAGCTTCCATAAAAATCTGAAGATGAAGCTTTAAAATAGAATAATTTATGAGGAGGACCTTATAATTATTATAAACCTGCAATGAAATAAATAGTATTGTAGTGCCCAAAACATTGATCACCTCTGAGGGAAGGAATATCACAGAGGCTCTAATAGTTAGCACCATCAAAAGGGGGTAGCTGATGCTCACATAACAAGTAACAACATGGTGGCTTGAACAGTTATCACCGGTCTAAACAGGGTGGCTCAAACAATTAACATCTGAGAAAGACTAATAACATGATGGCTTGAACAGTTAGCACCATAGAAAATAGGGTGGTCCAAACAGGTAATACCCGTGAAAGAACTAACAATAATGGTGGCTTGAACAGTAGCATCATAGACAATAGGGTGGCTCAAACAGTTAACACCCGTGGAAAAGCTAAGAACATGGTGGCTTGAACAGTTAGCACCATAGAACATACTGGGTGGCTCAAACTGTTAACACCCGCGAAAAAGCTAAGAACATAATAAAGTTATGTTGCACGGTTAAAAACTCATTATTTTAAATAAGCTTTTAGCTTATAACCGATAATATTTTAACATAGATTTTTTACACGCATATATAATATTTTTATCTAGTATCCATTTATTAACTATTTAGGAAAGCTGTAATTTTTTATCCTTTTCATTGTAGTATTATAATCATTGTAATGTAAAGTGCGTTAGATCATATACCAATGTATTTAATTTCAGCTAAACTCCACGTAAATTTTCAACATAAGATGAGATACTGCCATCATCGACGGTGATTATTACCGCATTAGCGATAATGAAGCCGTAAAAGCGGCTGAATTAACTTGGAAATTAATTCATGTGTAACCACATGTTACCACGGCAAACTAAACCCACGTTAAATAACCCATAAAATTATTTAAACCCTCCAGAAAATAATCCTAGATATATTGTTTAATGATGTTTTAGAGCATTGACAGGACCTTCAGTTCTAGACTATAAAAAGGATTTGAAATTTATTTTGAGCTTCTTTTTCTTTAAAATAATCCTAGGTATATTGTTTAACGATATTTAGGGGGTATTAACTGGACTTTCTAGTTCTAAATATGTCACGCTACCAATATGGAAAAGTACATATGGAAAATGAAATTTCTTTTAAGTTTCTTTTTCTTTAAAACAGTCCTAGATATATTGTTTAATGATGTTAAAAGGCACTAACAGCGCTTTTAGACTAAAAAAAGTTCATTCTAGAAAATGTGAAATATTGGCATTTTTCTGAAGGGGTTAGTCCATGATTTTCGTCGAAAATTTGAAATTTATCCGTCTTTTTATTTTTGTGCAAAACAGGCCAGGCAAAGGTGTTAAACATTATTCAAGAACGAAACAAGGCATTCCAGACTATTAAAATGAGAAGGTAAAAAAATCGAAAAACTGGGATTTTTCCAAAGGGGTTAGTCCATGGTTTTGGTCAAAACTTTTCCATGTTTTTATTTTAGACAAAATAGACAAGGAAAATGTGTTTGACGATATTCTAGATACATAAAAAAAACTTATTTCAAATATAAAAACAACAAGTTAAAGAAATAGAAATATTTTGATTTTTTCCAAAGGCGTTAGTCCATGATTTTGGTCAAAAATTTCAAAGTTTTTCATCTTTTTATGGTAGGTCAAATAGGCCAGGAAAATGTGTTTGACGGCATTCTAAAAAAGATAAAAAGCTTTCTAGACTATTAAACAGAAACTTTAAAAAGTGAAAAAATTCTGATTTTTCCAAAGGCATTAGTCCTTGGTTTTGGTCAACAGTTTCAATTTTTCTTTATTTTTTTTTATTATTTTAGGCAAAATAGGCCAAGAAAAAGTGTTGGACGATGTTCTACAAAGAAAAAAAAACGTGTCTAGACTATGAAAACAAGACGTTAAATAAGTAATAAAAAATTGAGGTTTTCCAAAAAAAGTTATTCAATCCATGGTTTTGCTCAAAAAATTTCCATCTTTTTGTATAAGGAAAAACAGACCAGGAAAATTTGTTTTACAATACTCTAGAAAGAAAAAAACGCCTTCGTAGACTATAAAAACAACAAGTTAATAAAGTCGAAGAATTAGGATTTTTTGAAAGGGGTTAGTCCATGGTTTTGGTCCAAAATTGGAAATTTCTCCATCTTTTTGTCTCAGGCAAAATAGGACAGGAAAATGGATTTTGCAATATTCTAGACTTTTCTGTGTTTTTATGTTAGACAAAATAGGCCACGAAAATATGGTTCACGATATCCTAGAAAGAAAAAACGCCTTCCTACACAACAAAAATAAAAAGTTAAAAAAGGAGGAAAAATTGGGGGTTTTCCAAAGCGGTTAGTCCATGGGTTTGATCGAAAATTGGCAATTTTTCCATATTTCTTTTTCAGCCAAAAAAGCACATGAAAATGTGTTTGATGATCTTCTAGAAAAGAAAAAACGCCTTTCTAGGCTTTAAAAACAACATGTTAATAAAGCCCAAGAATTTGGATTTTTTCAAAGGGGTTAGTCCATAGTTTCAGTCAAAAATTTTAGGCAAAATACGACAGGCAAATGTGTTATACTATATTCTAGAAAGAAAAAACCGCTTTCAAGACAAAAAGTTAATAAAGCCAAAAAGTTGAGATTTTTTCAAAGGGGTCAATCCAAGGGTTTGGTCAAAAATTGGCAATTTTTCCATGTTTTTATTTTGGGCACAACGGGCTAGAAAGATGTGTTTCACCATAATCTAGAGAGGAAAAACGGCTTTCTTGACTTTAAAAACAACAACTTAATAAAACCGCTTTCAAGACAAAAAGTTAATAAAGCCAACAAATTGAGATTTTTTCAAAGGGGTCAATCCAAGGGTTTGGTCAGAAATTGGCAATTTTACAATCTTTTTATTTTAGACATAATAGGCT